AGATGAAACGTGGCTGGATCTTCCAGCATGATATGATCCCAAACACACCGCCCGGGCAAAGAAAGAGTTGCTCCGTAAAAAGCATTTCAAGGTCCTGGAGTGGCCTAGCCAGTCTCCAGACCTCAACCCCATAGAAAATTTGTGGAGGGAGTTGAAAGTCCGTGTTGCCCAGCGACAGCCCCGAAACATCACTGCTCTAGAGGAGATCTGCATGGAGGAATGGGCCAAAATACAAGCTACAGTGTGTGCAAACCTGGTGAAGATAGGAAACGTTTGACCTCTGTCATTGCAAACAAAGGTTATGTTACAAAGTATTGTATTTCCATTTTGTCTCTCATATTAAAGCCCCATTCGCACGGGATTAGTATTATCTGGGAACCTCGTGTGATTTATATATTATCCACCCACATCTGAATTTCATGTGGCGCATTCGCACGGGATAACTGAAGCCTGTGATTTTTCTCAAATTTACTGACTTATCGCCCGGATATGACGTCAATAGTCAATTAGCCTTTCGCCGAGCCCCGCCCCCCTTAGTTACTGCTGCTACCTCCGTCAAACAAATGGTCAAACACGGGCAGCGCGACAGATTGCCATGACGGCAAAGGGTATTCCCGTGCGTGTCAGTGACCTTTTTTGGAGCAATACCTCCGCGATATCAAGCAAGATCGAAGCAAAAGGGGTTACGGTATGCGGTGGAGGGATTTATTCCAAATATAAAATTAAGAAATGAATGAGACACGACTACTATTGATGCTAATGCTTGCCAGTCTCAAGAAAAATCAGAAAAACCCCATGACCATGCTAAGTTACCTCAAATGCAACCAGCACAGCCTTGAAGATTTTATAAACTGGTTCAGTGGCTAATTGTTTGGAGTTCGAAATATATAACTTGCGCTGCATATTTATTCATTTTGCCTCCGATACAGGAGTACACGTTCGCTTTAACAAGCAGGTTGTTCATTAGGCTACCACAGCAACCGATTGCGTGTCATGCTCATGCTGAATGCGATTTTCGTGTTTAAAAAGTAACTAACGTTATGCATAAGAGACGGAAAGAGGCAGAGAACCATACGTTATTTAAGGTTATTTCTATTCGTTACGATATTGATATATGAACTGATGTTGTCATGTAAGCTTCATGCTTTCCCCGTTGCGAACGTCCTCTAAACTGTAGTCTACGGTGCTGCACTGCTAACTTAGCTGACTGCTGCTCATTTTCCCAGAGAATATCATGGTATGTTAACAACAACCCTTTAGAAAATGTACAGTAAGTCCTTTGTGGATCCTCTTGATCTGCTTTCTCCGTGCTTCTTTGACTAATCTCAGTCGCACGCACGCTGCACGCGAGACGAGTTAACCATGTTCGACACATTTAACTGGAATTGGGGCGTCCACACTGTTTAATACATCTTAGGCACCGCTCGCGTTGTGTTTTGGGCTTTGGAAAGGGAAAAAACACAACTTCTCCAGACAATCTCTCGGGGTATCATGTGTCCGATTTACTAACGCCGTGGGCGCACCGCTTACTGTTTGACGGAACAGCTCACACAGTAACGGTTGCTATGATGTGTGATTGGACAATGGCCATTTTGTGGGAGGGGCCGGCGAAAGGTCAATTGCTTGGAAATTTGTTTTCGTTATAGGTCTATGATATATTATGACATAAACAGAATAAAGATCTTTACCACATGCTTCTATACATATTTCATTCATCCCCATCTAATCAATCTTTTTGTTTTTGCTCTTCTGATGATTTTCAGCTTTTACTTTCTGAAAATTGTGTAGTTGTGACCCAGCATATATGACCCAGCACCAAAAATACAATCAAAACACTCCAAACCAGCCTCCATTCTTCGTGGAAGATGAATAAAAAGGCGCACATGAAACAAAAACCTTGAAAAAAAAGATATACGATCCGGCCAAAACACCGAGATGCCGATTCGCACGGGACTAATATAATCACAGGACCTCGGTGTTCGGCGAAATATAGTAGGGAATTTGCGGGGGAATTTTTACTTTACAAATTACAGACATAGCCGATTCGCACGGGATTAAGATCTCAGACAAACTCCGCAATTATTACAAATTACTATAGGTCACCAGATAATATACACTGTAAAAAAAATATTTTCAAGATTTGTTATCACAACATTTTTTTCTTTTGTCAAATCAACTTAAATAATTTATTTAGTTCAGATAACTTATTATTTTGAGTTTCTGATGATTAAATCAATCTTATTCATTGTATTAACTCACTTTTTCCAGTTCAATCAACCAGGTTACTTAATGTTTTAAGTTGTTACTAATCCTGTGCGAATAGGGCTATAGTTAAAGTGTACCTATGATGAAAATTACAGACCTCTCTCATCTTTCTAAGTGGGAGAACTTGCACAATCAGTGGCTGACTAAATACTTTTTTTTTTCTCCATTGTATATAAATAAACTATATAAATAAGACACAAACACTGTACACACTCTGCGTGCTGTCAGAGCATTTCTATGAGTATATGAGTAGCTACACGAGCGCAGTATCGTATCGGTGCATCCCTAATTTCAGGTGATCAGTTCCCATAATAATACCTCGCCCCAGCATGTGGAAAATATCACTTTAAAGTGCCGTGTATTACATCGCAAACTCACTTTTTTCCCCTCTTAGATCTTTGGCTTCGAATCACCTCCTCATTCACAGTGGACGGTGACGTACAGCATCTATAGATCAGTTACATTCAGCTGCACAGCCCATCTCAGAGCAAAACACCATCAATAACACACAACTTACACACTATTAAATGTACAGGATTTATATCAAATCAACTTGCACTTGTTTTAATGTTCACAAAAAAAGTGTAACAATTTAGTCAAGAACATTCCTAAAAATTGGAACGAAACGTGCTCCTAAAAAAATAAAATAAATAAATAATGGATTTGAAAGAGCAAAATTACATATATGATATTCATCTTAAAGGAATAATTCACCCAAAAAAGAAAATTCTGTCATCATGTACCCTTATGTCTTTATCTGCAGTGTTTGGTCTATGTATGTAAACCCTCCGTTCAGTTCAGTTCAGTTCTTTGTCCGTCTGGTGTCTTCAATGTAAACGTGTAGTTCTGCCAGAGTTCACTATGTTACTTTCACTGTGCTATTTTAACCTTATTAGAGCTTGTTGCCATTCACTTTCACAATATACAAAGAGTTGCCAATATATTCTGCTTGACATCTTCTTTAGTGCCACACCGAAGAGAAAAAAAGGCACACAGTTTTGGAACAACATGAAGGAGACTAAATAATGACAGAATTTTTACTTTTCTATGAACTACTCCTATAGATTTCTCTGGCCATTTATATGTAGAATCAAGTCCATCCCATAATTCTACTCAACGTGTCTCTCTAAGGCTAAGCCATGCAGCTATCAATTACTTCTGTCAAATAAACAATCAAGAAATGATAGTTATGTTCTTCAAAGGTCATTATGGTGTATTCTGCTGCATATGGGCATTAGCCATGCAAAACCTTCAAAGAGGTGCCAAGGCAAGGCCGTCGTGATGTCATGCTTCTGTAATGTAAGAATTATCTGATTGGCTGTTGGGGGAGAGTGGAATATGTCAATAAATTGGCTGAGAGAGAGAGAGGGTGGAGCTTATAAAAGGGGGTGGAGCTACACAACTAAGGTATTGTTGGTTGAATTCTTTACTATTATGTGTAATATTTTCATAATGCCAGAATACAGAAGCTCCGGCGATTGGAGCGTTCCTTCTAGATGGCAGAAGCACTTGGATTATATCCTTTCCGTTTGACGTTTCTTGTTGTTTGGAAGAAGAGGAAAGAAGAAAATAGTTATTGGGAAACAAAACACTGCTGTTATTGAGATAAGAAATGTATCATAACCAAGACTCTGTTTCAGCTCCACAGCATCCAAATAAGAAGAATCCAATTCTATAGTTTAACTTAGTATCTGCACATGGTCACTAAAATGTGTTGCTTAGGTATGAATTTGTATACAGTTTACACAATGTGGAACTGAAGCAGAACAATGTGCAAGCCTCACGTGAGCGGACAAGGACAAACAGAGCGATAGACTGGCAATGGATTATTTCAGTGGAAATGCACTGCTTCAAGAAGAACAGACACACTAAGGGCCCTATCTTGCACCTGGCGCAAATGACTTTGTACACTGACGCATTTATCATTCCTATGTTGCACCCGCGCAAAGCAGGCTTTTCCCTCCACAGAAACACGTCGGTAACTAGGAAATGAACTTGCGCTCCCTGGGTGGGTTGATGCAAAAAGGAGGCGTGTTTCGGCGTAAACATCCCCTAGTGCTATTTTGCAGTTCCAGAAAACAATTCCGCCACTGACCAGAAAAAAAACCTGGTCTAAAGTCAGTGGCGTGCTGCACGTTGTTCATAATGCTATTGTAAGCGCGCATACTTGGCCAATATTAAGCAGGTGCCCAACGCGCATACACTTTGATTCTCTCATCAACAGAGATGCAGCAGTTTTTATTTTTGCAAATCATACATTATAACAAGGAAAAATATGAGGGAAATCATTGTGGTGTCCATGAAGATGTAAAAAAATGTAGGCCTAAATCTAGCTTACACATTTACCCACATTTTTCAGGCTAATTGTAGTAATGACGGATCAGACCTGTTTGCCCAATAGTGGCAAGACACATATGTATATAGTGTTTATCCGACACTGATTTGGGTGGGTTTCTTCCATCCCCATACAACGTCACTTCTCTGTCTTTCACTGCCCTGACAAGAACGTCGGTCTCATCGGCTGTGAACCGCTCCTTGCGCACGTCTAGTAAACCCGCCGTTATAATAACAATCCGCCATGCAACATGCGCGCCTGCTCTTAAAGGGTATGTTGGATGACGCTCTGATGGGTTTATTTCACGTTACGCCCAAACCACACCTATGAATAATGAAGATATTTCAGACCAACCCCTTTTAAACTTGCGTCGGGCGCAAGAGGCATTTATCCCGCCGGTAAAATAGCAACAGCGCCGGGACCCTCCCACAAAGTTACTTGCGCTTCGTGCTTGATACTTGCGCTTCAGATGGTTAAAATAGGGCCCTCAGTGTTCATGTGATCTACTGAAGGGGTGTCGCTCTTCAGGGCGTTTACACTGACAGCAAATTGTGGGGTTTAAAGGGGTGGTATAATGCCCTTTTCACAAGATGTAAAATAAATCTCTGATGTCCCCAGTGTATGTGTGTGTGTGTGAAGTTTTAGCTCAAAATACCCCACAGATAATTTTATATAGCATGTTTAAGCCTGTTCATTTTTTGAGGGATTTGTGTCTGGCCCTTTAAATGCAAATGAGCTGCAGCTCCCGACACAGAGGACGTGTTTCTAGACCTCCTTTGTGTGTGTGTGTGTGTGTGTTAGCAGCTCCGATTACCTCATGCATCCGCATTTGACGCGAGTTTACAACAGTGGCCAGTAACACACTGACTGTATGAAAGTTCATCATTCTTGCTGTGCATTTGGGTTTGTAAATAATGTCGATAATATTATAACCATAATTCTTAACAATTAATCAGAAAAAAACTGCACGTACATGGGAGTGAAGAGTTTTGAGGATCCGCCTACAGTTGACGCACACTGCAGTCGAGTAGAAACATCTACTAGCACTACCGTAATTTGGCAACCTCCAGCGAACGAGGTGAATCACTGTCAGTGTGAACGCCCTTCCAAAATGATGCATTTCCTGGACAGCCCCATGCAGATGGGATAATTGTGTGCGACAGTGAAATGCCAGCATTTCTGGACGTGGTCATGCAGACCAGTGCCAGTGAGAGCTGTCGGTACCAGGTGGGTTTGCCAGCCAGCAGCTCCGCAAGGAGACAGGAAGTGAAGAGCATGTGTCATGTCTAAAGCTGAGACCCTGCTCTCATGTTGAGTTTACACAAAACTGAAAGAGAGTGCAATGGTTAACATGATGTCGCGCCACACTCCTCCATTACTTAACCACACACTTCATCACTTAAAGGAACAGTGCACTCAAAAATGAAAATTCAATCATCATTTACAAACCCCCCAAACTTGGATAAATTAATTTTTTGTCAGTCAAGCACAAATGATCTGAAATTCAATTTTTGAGACATATTGTCTCTCCAATTACTTTTATATTATGGCTGAATTCATGTCAATTTCATGATGCATCTCAATCATAGAGGGATCGTAATCTAATCAAATCACTATACAATTATATATAATTTTAATTTAGTAGAAAAGAACACTGTGGAAAGAAGGAGTAAATGATGACAGAATTTTCATTTTGGGGTAAAACAGTCCTTTAAAACGGATTGTAGACATGAAGCTCATTGTAGGAAGTTACTGACCAGTCTCAACTTTGTATGCATAGATATCTATTCTAGAGACCACATTATACTACTCATGATACGCCAACGCGTCCGCCATCTTGGAACATTAACATTTCAGATTCAGAAATACAGAAATTTCAGAAATGCTCAGTAACATTAAAAATCAATTAATTTTCAGAAAGACCACAATAGTATTTTTAAATAAAAGCCATTTAAGTGTACTTCGAGTATACTTTCATGACTGTGTAACCTGCCTTAGCCACCAAGCCTTGTAGGGTCACTTCGGCCCATGTGGGTAAAGCTTACATGGTAGCAGGTCAGGCTGGTGCGTCCCTGCACATCATGGCAGTTTTGCAGGCTTACCAGGCAGACCTTCTTAAAGAATTGGATTATGAAGAGGAATTTGGCCTGAATGCAGTTAAAGAGCTATGTAGGGCCACCCCAATCTGCCTTGTTAGGCAATGTTGTCAACACCATTGTCAACATATACCAGGAGGTATAGGTACAGATACTATACCTCGCCATTTCCAGGAGTCGGTACCTTCCACCAGCCACTCCAGGCCAGGGCCCAGTGAGAGGAGAGGCAACATGACATCATGACTTTTGCGTAAACATACACGCCACTTTCGAGTCTAGTGGCATGTTATCTCTACGCATTTTGAGCTATCCGCGTGTATCCTCGTGTATGCGTGAATGTCTACGCCATTAACGTCCGCGTCATTCCGCGTGTCTGTACACGCCGTCAAATGTCCGAGCGAAACGAAGCAAAATGTACATCTACATCTGGGGAGCTATCTTTTTCTTTCCTAGGATGGAAAGGGAACAGTCATAAATGCCATTAACCCCAGTGACGGTTGGGTTTAGGGATGGGGTTGAGGTAAGTCATATAGTAATAACGTTAAGTCAACGGCGTTCATAAACACGCTGAAAAGCGATTATGCATGTTGATAGCACGCCAAAAATGGAAATATGAATTGCCGTGTCATACACACGCTACTTCATGAGATCAGTCTGGGAGAGGAGAACAGTATGACAATATGTTGACACGTAACCCCTCACAAAGGGGACAGGGAACCCCACTCAGGCACAGCCATACTGGGGGAGACATGATCCTCTAAGATGGCGAAGAAAAAGTCCTGATATTCAAGGGTTCCAGCCCCCAATAGCATCATCTCCCAGGGAAGATCTACACCAAGACATTAAGTGCCAGACCTTCCTCAGGGCCCCAACAGGCTATTCACTCAAGAGCGATATTATCAATTGTCCCACCTGGTTGGTCCCTGCCAGTTCACCGATTCAGGGCTGTAAGACTTTGTGGCAGCAGCTAACAAACATATCTCAGTGGCTGCTGAAACATATCTCAGGAAAGTTTACAGGATTCGGTTTGCCTTCCATCCACCTTGATTCAATGGCGTTGTAGCTACAGTGGTGTGTCGGGAGAGTCAGGAAAGTTTTTATTAAACAAGAACTACAGTCTCTCTTGGCAAAAGGGGCCATGGAAAGTGTACCCCTTCCAGAGAGGGACTTATGGTTCTACAGTGGGTACTTTATTGTGCCAAAAAAGGATGGGGGTAGCATCCGATTATAGATTTGAAGGGCTTGGACCGTACTCTTTGGACATACAGACTCAAGATGCTCACCCTAAAGTTTAGTTGTGTTGCAAATCCAGTTCGAGAAATGGTTTGTGACAAATCTAAAGGATGCCTACTTTCCCTCAAAATTCTGCCAGAACATAGGAAGTTTCTCAGGTTCGCTTTCAGGGGCTCTTTTCAGGCTAGCTCTATCCCCAAACATCTTTACCAAGTGCATGGATGGTGCTCTGGCTCCTTTTAGACTCCAAGGCATCTATAGCTGCATTTCCACTGTGGAAACTTTCCCCAGGAATTAGGAACTGGGGTGGTACTCGGTGTGTTTACACCTCAGGAACCAGCGTCTAAATGAGGTTCCGGGTAAAAATTTCACCCCCAGAAAGTCCCTGCTAGCGAGGTAGTACTTTTTCAGAGTTCGGGAACTTTCGGGACTTGTGCGCTGAACATGCTGATTGGTTCTTACCATGCTATTCTTTCTGCCCGATGGCGAGCGTTCGTCCCATCCATCTCACGTTCAATGTCCGCTGATAACAAACGTCTACTTTTATATCTAGCATTACAAGCTTTCTGAATAAGGTTTGGGGTCTGTTTTCTGCAATTTTGTTTATTACCTCGTTAGTAAACCAATCGCACACAAAAGCAGCACAGCTTGATTCTACTCCATACAAAAACTCAAAACAAACGTGCAGTTCAACGTCACCACATAATCTTCCCACCACGGACCGGTACTTTAGTCTGCGGTGTAAACGCAGTAAGCAAGCGGTCTAGGGCAAAAAAATTTTCCTATGAAAAAAGTTCCTGGGACAAAGAGTTCCTGGTAATTGCAGTTGAAACATGGCTTATGTGCTGAACTACATAGACAATTGGCTGATGCTGGCTCAGTCGTAAGAGCTGACGGCGCAACATTGAGAATGCTTTCTGCCGCTCAGAGAACCACTTTCCTTGGGGTTGTTTGGGACTTGACCACAACACAGGCACGTCTGTCTCTCGCACATGTAGAATTGTTTCTAAATGCTATGAAAGATATCAAGATAGGTCAGGAGCTCTCAGTTCTTCAAGTTCAGAGCGCATGGCAGCAGTGGCCAACATCATTCCACTAGGCCAACAGTTTTGGCTCAAAAGCAGGGGATTTCATCCTCTGATCCCCCCTCAGGGTTACAAGGGTCACGTGTCATGGGCTAAGTGCTCTATGACTTCAGAAGGAGTCACGGTTCCTGAACAAGAGCCAGGCTCTTGGGGCATGTTGCAGTCACAAGACTTTAACAACGGATGCCTCTCTCACAGAATGGGGTGCAGTTTTTGATGGTCGTCCAGCCAGTGGGATTTGGGGGACCTTCATCTTCATTGGCACATACCTAGATATGAGAGCAGTGTTTTTGGACTTGAAACACTTAATTCCACTCCTGAGGGGCTTTCATGTGTTGGTCCGCACAGACAACACATCGGTAGTCTCTTCCATAAATCGCCAGGGCGGTCTGCATTTGTATTCCCTTTTCAGGCAAGGGTGCAAACTTGGGGGCAGATATCCTGTCGAGGCAGGGGCTGAGGCCCTGGGAATGGTGACTACATCCACAGGTAGTGGAGTCTATATAGCAGAGGTAGTGAACCTGTTTGCCTCCACAGAGATGAGCCACTGTCCCCTCTGGTTCGCCCTCTACCCCTCCAGCTCCTCTTTCATAGTACAGACATGGCCAAGGCTGCACCTCTATTCCTTTTTTTCTCTGATGGCTCTAATTCTGGGGGTTCTAGTGAGGGTGCACCAATACCAAGTCCATTTCTTTGTGGCTCTGTTCTGGCCGACTCAAGTATGGTTCTCAAGTACATGATATCTTTTCTGGATGGCATTCCATGGGAGATTCCAGTCCTGGGACTACGTGATGTGCCGTCTAGTTCCCTTCTCAGGGAACAGGGTTACATAGGTAACCTGAGGCATTCACAGATTTCATTAGAAGCCTAGAGCAATCTGGCTGTAGGGTTTTCTGATGATCAATAATATTTATCAGAGCTTTAACTAATATTCCTTTTTATTTACCATTTTTACTTACCAGAATTTTAACATGAATGACAAACTAAATCCTGTAAAAACCACCTGTTAAAGACTATTGCGTCTATGGATACTGATGAATGTGAATAACTACTGTAGGTTGCAGTCTTACAATCAACTTGCTCTCAAGGTATCATGGACTGGCTTTGACTGTTTCAATATGGCGGACGGGTTATGCATAGATGTCTGTAGAAACAGATAATCATTCAGTATTAGAAGTTTTAAAGCTGTTAGTTTCAGCTGATTCTAAACTATCCATTTCCCACATTTTCTGCAGTATGTAGATTCAGTATCACTAGCTTTGCTATGGATGCCAGTTTGGTGAATGACAACTGAAGCTGTGTGTCATTTTAACATGCAGGTCAGGATTTCAGCTGGGCCCTACAAGCTGGTTTGAGGTTCTGTGGCAGTGAAATTTAAACCAGGTTTTAACGCTCTGAGTTCTGCATTATTTGCCCTAGCTCTCAGTTGTTCACTCCGTCTGCAGAGCGTTTCTCTCCTGTTACAGAATCTGCAGCAGAAACTCAAAGCATATAAGTGTAAGCTGCAGGTATAGTGTTGCCTAGAGCGAAGAGACATGCAGACTGGTGCTTACTTAAAACCCCAGCCTGTCCCACCCAGGACTATAGCTGCCACCAGGATAGCCCCTGCGATGGACCCTATGATGAGATTGGTGGCACTGGGACCTGTTTGGGCAAGTGTAGGGAAATGGGACATGAGCTTTGATTTGTTAGAGCTCAAAATATCTGTTCCAGCAAAACAGATGGTGTTTTAAAAAGATCCAGCATTTTATGCTATGTTTGAGGTTTGTTATTTCAATTCGGGGACAGGCTTTTTTCAAAAATATTGTATTCATATATTTGGGCTCATAAATAAAAAATATTTGAATATTCATTTATTTTAATCACGTTTAACAAGAAAGATGTTATTTTATTCATCAAGTTTTTGTCACCATTTCTGAACAAGCTTTTTACCTTTTGGATTTCCTGTTAATGCTTGTTCATTCTGCTGATCATTGTTCAAAAGTTTGGGGTCTGGAAGATTTTTAAATCTATATTTCAGCAAGGATGATTTAAAGTATTAATTTCTTTAAAAAAAAAAAAAAAAAAAAAAAACAAATCCTAATGACCCAAAATCTTTAAACTGTAGAATATCTATGTTTGCCTGTAATGGCTTTGCCTTCATTGTAAGAAAAAAAACAAACAGAAAAAGATACTATATTTCTGCCAGGATATTATCTGTTAATTTACAGACATTTCCTTTAATGCAATGCGTAAATCGAAATACACCTTGGAAAATTGTATATGTGCCCTATTCACAGACTTTTCTTAGAGTTTAGTTTCCCCCCTCTCTGATTTATTCTTTCCTGTCCACTGGGTGGCGCTTGTCTCAATTTTTACATTCTGATTTTAGGAAATGTGTCATGTATTAACTTGTATATTTGAAACGCATATATGCACTACAGTGGACAGACAACTAAATTACTAAAATTACAATTTCTACTAAAACAATAATAGTACATTATAGATCAAAAGTTTAGATTCAGTAGGATTTAAAAACAAATATATGAAGAGTTTAGATGCAAAAGCCTCTAAGTGCCATTTGAAATTTTCTTCTAGAATGATCATTTTTATGAAGCTTGTATATTTAAGTTCAGTGATTCACTTAAATTGCAATGACAATTACCTATTAATTGTTATCTAAGTGAAATTACTGAACTTAAATATACAAATTTGATAAAAATCATCATTAAAGAAGAAAATTTCAAATGGCATTTAGAGGCTTTTGCATCTGAACTCTTCATATATACTTTTGTTCAGGAATGATGCTTTCCAAAATGATAAACTAAAGTGAAAATATCTAACCAAAGCAACTTCAGAGCCTCATTCATTAAGCGCAAATATACCGCATTTCTGTAAAAGTCGATCATGAATCCATTAAAAATTGAAAAACTATTTAAACTGAAATCCCTTCAGCTGGTGTTTTATGAATGAGCTCCATTGTTTGGTAACACTTTACTTGAAGGGGTGTGCATAAGACTGACATAACAAATGTCATGAATATGAAGGAGGTTTTATGCATGTTTATGACAACTGTCATTAAGTGTCATTCACTCAATTATGACATTTATAATGCAAATATGACATTGTTTGAGAAGTCTGTATGACACCCTGACATAAACCAATACATCATAACCATAAATACATGTCAGTGTCTTGGTAATGACAATTTGACATTACCAAGATAACATAAATTGCCAAAAATATGTCATAGCAGAATAATTATCAAACTTAAGAGACCACCTAGCTTTATTGGTTTTGACATTGGCTGTCATGAGGCCATTATAACTAAACTGTGTCATGAATAAACTACAGTGATACTAATTGAATTTATCATTAAAAAGTTATAATGGCCGCATGACAGCCAATGTCAAAACCAATAAAGCTAGGTGGTTTCTTAAGTTTGATAATTAATCTGCTATGTCATGTGTATGACAGGTTGTGTTGTCTTAGTAATGTCAAGTTGTCATGACAGACACTGACAGGTTATGATGTATTGGTTTATGTCAAGGTGTCATAATAAAGACATCTCAAACAATGTCATATTTACATTATGACACTTAATGACAGTTGTCATAAACATGCATAAAACCTTCATATTCATGACATGTTATGCACACCCCTTCAAGTAAAGTGTTACCCATTGGGTATATATGTGTAAGCATATGTGTTTGTGTAGGAGCGAAGCAAACCTTTGGGCTCCTCATCTTCACTGGGGGCCGGCTCTTTTGGAGGGTCAGGCATGCTACAGTCCGTCCCCGCCCATGTCGTGTCACATGTACAAGCCGCCTCATTATTGCACACCTGTTTAATATTAAAATCGCCAAAACAATGCAGAAAATACAAATCACGTTAATTAGGCATTACTTTCTTAGCATAATGAGAAATGGATTTTGGAAAATGTAATCCTCAGCATGGCATTGGCGTGTGTTCAGTGTGTGTGTTCGGGATAGCTCTCACCCCATGACTGGAACAGATGTGTCCATTGTGTCCGCTGGGACAGGAGCTCAGGTTCAGATCCTGGATAGGGAGACACTTCCTGTCCAGACACATCATTGATGGACCACATGGAGTCCCATCCTCCACATAACCGTGATCAGTCTGATCATCCAGCAAGACGTGGCCACCGCTGACAAAACAATGTGTGTGTGTGTTCAGATCAGATTCTGATATTGGCGGCATAATCTCAGTAATGAATACTGTGATATTTTGCAATTGGCTCTGAAATAGATGCAAAAGCAAAACCGATATTATCGGCCGATATTAGGCATTTTCCAAACTATCGGTATCGGCAGTTATAATGGCCGATAAATGAATATTCAAAAAATAAAATAAAAACGGACGAATCACGTTTGAACCATGTCATGAGTGTTGGAGTTGTATAGTTTGTCCACCAGAGGGCACTCTACACCGTTCCTGTTGGCAACACTCGTTGAGTTGGTCACAACAATTAAAAGAACATCCCCATCAGATCTCTTAACTCAAATAAGCATGACAACATTTGTGTCTATCATGTCCAGTTTTGCTGTTGTTAAATAAGCCGAGAGTGAAGCGGAATTAGCTAGTAATAGTTGCGTAACGTTGTTACAGTGTAGTTGACCGACTGTCCTTTTAACTTTTGACAATGTGACTGAAGTATTTCTTTAATAGCGCGTGACAGTTATAGCAATGAGACGCATCATCTCTCCTTGGCCTGTTATATTGAAAATGTATGTTTTACAATTTGCAGTATGACGTTATCATTGCTAAATTATGGCTCATCGTAGACCACTAAGCTAGCTAATGCCGCTATCATCCGTCTGTTCTGTTATGACAATAAAAGAAACAAGTTTCTTTTTAAAATGCATTATCATATTATTTTAGTTAAAACTCATAAATAACTACAAATAACTATGTTAGGGAAATCTGTTAATGTTTTGTTGCGCGTTTCTGAAAAAAAAAAATATAAATATCGGCCGATATATCGGAATATCGGATTTTAAAACCAACAAATATTTGTATCGGTATCAGCCTTCAAAATCCTTCATCGGTCGGGCTCTAAAAGGTCTTGATCATGCGTTTGCCTCTGAGCTTCTCACCTGCAGTCGATCACTCTGCCCTGATGGTTGAAGTTTGTGGGAGTGACTTCTCCTTTCATGATCCCTATCCGTGGGATTCGGCCCATGTTAGTGCACAACAGATACCCGCAAAACACATCACTGCGAATATAGAGATCACAGCGACACTACTGTGAGAACATAACACTACAATTCACACCAATGGCACACACTCCTGCTGGACATCAGAGGACTGTACAGTTTCAATCATTTTCTTTTCTTTGTAGCCTATGTGTATATTAAACTTTACCAACAAATCTCACCCTTAAAGGGTAACTAAACCCTAATCCAACTTTTTTTAGTTAATGATCTGTAAGAATGGGGCTTTTTTTTAATGCTGATCATTGATTCGAGTAACTTTTTTGACATTTGGGTATAAAGTGTTTTATTTCTACAATATATGGTGTAAAAACGTCTTAGTGCTGCCCTCTTCAGGTTGAACGGTGGCTACTGCAGTTGAATTTTCCTATTGGATGTTCCGCACTTCGTGACGTTCGCAGGTTTCAGCTCACCACGCTCTTGGTACGAGCTACGCACTTGGCAGTATAAAAACCATCTTGTGTCGTCAAAACCACTGTAGCGAGTCAGGAGTTGGAATTGTGAGTATTGAAAACGACCCGGATAGAGTGTTTTAGCATCTATTTCGTCCCCTCTATCTCCACTGGGGTCTGCCCACTTTTTTTGGGTGGAGTCAGGCTCTGACCAGGGGTTTAGTTACCCTTTAAAGTGAATATGTATATAAAGTATATTTTACAAAGTATTTTTGATGTCCATACACTAATACGTTTTCGTTTGGCCTTTCGTTCACACTGAGACGGCGTTTTACGTCAATGAAAACGTAGCTTTTGGAAAATGCTCTCCAAAGCGGATACATTTGGAAACGCCGTTTCGCGTTGTAGTGTGGACTGAAGCCGGAGGTATTTGAAAAAGATGACGTAAGTTTAGTCATGTGACACTGATGCTAAAATATTTCACTTTGCACATTCTTCATATCACAGTACTGCAAAGATGACAGAAATCTCACATTTGCTGTCCTCCGGCAATACAGGAGAGCAGTCGCGTTTTAAACCAAACATATGGTGACTGAGTGCGACTTGGACGCATCAGTGATGGGGAGATATTTTGCTAAATAAAATGATAAAATTATACATAATGCCATCTTTTGAATGGCTGTAGCCGAGTTAGAGGAGGTTGAATCGCAGCATCAACGATTCCAAGTTCGAGATTTTGAATTCATTTCGATCGATTTCGAAAATCGAAATCGTGACACCCTTACTAATAAAACACCCGAGCCATGTGTCGATCAGAATATCCCAGAGAGAAGTGGATCTTTAGTCACAATGGTTGAATGGTTTTGCACTCACTGCTTACTGCACTGGATCCATTTGTCTCCATCTTGACCACAGTTGCCCTTCTCTGAGCCCTCAGTGTTCAGCTTCTCATAGCAGAACTTCTCTGAACTCGCAGCCTCTGCATGAAAACAGAGAAAAAGCAGAGAAACTGAATAAACTTCAGTATAGATAAGCTAGATTGACTAATGGTACCGTATCTACAGTATCCACCATTTAACCCTCAGGTGCTCTTCGTTTCGGAGTCACACTTGTTATCTTCCCGGTCAAAAGTGACCGGACACCTAAAAATTACATTTCCTCCATCCCAGTAAAACCAATGCAATTTATTTTTGTTCTATAATATTTATTCTTAGTAATTTAGTATTTTGAGACAATTTGATTGAATTTATTAATATTTATGCAATATTTATGGTCAATGTTTGCCATGGAAAAATGTAAAAATGTATATATATATATATATATATATATATATATATATATATTTATTTATTATTTTTTTCAAAAATTATTAATTCAGTATTTTAGTTTAATATAGAGTCTAGGCCTTCAGAAAAAAATATTTTTTGAAGAAAATTAGCACCACCTGGTTACAGTATAGAGAAAAAGAATCATGGTGTAACCACTAGATGGCATACAGTTCTCTATGGAGAAGCATGTGAATTCCCCAGCTGTTTACAATATTATATAGCTGCAGACTCGGAGCCTGCATCTACAGTCCCCCACCGAGAGTCCCGCATTCTCAGACCCCTCATTTTTCGAACACAGCGCCTCCTGCTGTTCAAAAGATCGAATAACACCCGCACACAGAGTACAGTGCACGCTTATCCAAATGCAATTAAAAACAATAGGATGCAATACTACGGTCTTCAAATAAATTATCCAATAAATATTTGCGTTCCCTGCTTAATGCAGGTGCCAAAAAAACTCATTGTTACTGATGGAAGGCATACAATTACAGATTGAACTATCTTCTGAAAAATAGTCTATGTGAAATTTTATTGCTACAATGTTTGGTTTTTTTTATATATTTTTTTTATTTATTCAAAATTCAAATTCTACTTTTTCTTTCAGTTCAACCTATAATGGTCTAATTAACATTACCATGCTAACATAACAAAATCTGTTTTTTGATATTTTGAATGCGAAGCAAAATAAATCAGAATAGACAAAACACCAATAATAAACAATTCAGTAGGCTACTTTATTTAATGATCACCTAAACATCATCTTACTGTAAAGAAAAAAAGGAAGAACAAACTGTGTTCGTGACTTTACTTTTCGTCTTTAATTGCATTAAAAAAAACTCATTTATAAGTCGCTTTGCATAATCATAAAATGATACGTTGCTGGAATCGGAAGGGGCAACTCCATCGATGTATGGTGTACTGGATACGATAGCACATGTCTTATGATCTTTCAAAAAGAAAGAAAAAAAATTCAAATTCATGTTGCACTGCTCTGACTGTAGAAGTGTCCCTTGAGATGTTTTTGAACTTTGGACAACTTTGTGGGTTTGAGATATATGGGGGCACAAAATGGGCAGTAAAAATAACTGCAGCATTTATGACATATAAAAAAGTCCAAGGTTAAAGGCTAACGTTAGCTATCAAAATATTTTCGGGGTAAAGAGGGCGAAAAAACATAACGGCTCAAATCTTGTTACAAACTACCTTTACAAATATTAAATGGACTATTCTTATGTTGTATCGATTAGCTAAATTAGTTTTATTAAAAAATAAATCAAACGAGCTATTACGATTCTCTAAATAAAATTGAAGACAGCCTACTCACGTTTTGGCTTAAGTTCTGTTTATCCGATACAATTTGATAGGAGGCGCTGACTCGAAAAACGAGGGGTCTGAGAATGCGGGACTCTGGGTGCAGGGGGACTAGATGCAGGTCTCCGAGTCTGCAGCTTCATACTACTCGCTGTTTATGAACACATTTTTTTTTTGGTGGATTTGATATAGTTGAAACAATCTCAAAAACGATTTTTTATTAAAAAAACGTTTAAAAAAAATAATTAAAAATTTGTGAATTTTTGTGTTTTTGTCAATTTCCAATTCATTTCCTATGGGTCGGTCATTTTTGAGCAAAGACCACAAGTGTAACTATTTTTTTAAGACCACTTAGCATGCTCAGATCATGACCTCATTTTTTTTTTGTATTCACATACAATATGCCATAAAAGTCATCAAGTTCCCTTTCAAGGGAACTTCGAGCTGCGTTGTCAAACGCGATGGGAACGCTCTGCGTGATTGCGTCGTGAAGCGTCTGTACAATCAGTCCAATGAGAGAGTAGGACGTCAGGTGACGTCATCGACCAGGAAACTATAAAGCACCCTTGAGATCAGACCGCAGCGACAGCTTCTGTAGCCTTCAGCAAGCGATCTCTGTACTCTGTCCTTGTCTATATTGTTGTTTGTCAAAGCCAAGAAAAGAAATATATATCACTATCTATATTTATGGCAAGCAAGATTATAGACGCTGTGTGGTTCCCTGCCCTCGTTACATCACGGGTGGGGACACAATCAGCTATTTGTTTGGGAGTGGAGCATGCCAGCAGTGAGTTCTCCAGGGAGCTGATTGTGGGCATTGCGAGAAGCTGTCCGCGAGGACGCTCCGCTCCCGCCGGGCGTTCTCCGAGGAGGACGGTTCGGTTCGGTTCGCGTTCCCCGCGCGGGTCTCTCTGTTGCCGAGGCACGGAGACGACTCGCATTTCGGGGTTCACATACAGATCTGACAGCGGGGGTTGGGACGAGCTCAGCTCTATCTCAGCTTTCACATGCCAGATCTGGACTGCGATTTCCAGTTCAGAGGAATTGGTATCGTTAGTGTTTTGTTTTAAAAAGAAACAGTACAAACAAATAAAAATGTTTAGAGAAAGGCAGATGTTTGACTTTTAAATGAATGAATAAATAAGTCAGCTCATATCTGCTGAATAAAGAGGAGCTTTTAAAAGGAGGTTTTATTTATGCTTTTGCCAGTTAAAATTTTACTGGCTAGCTGAACATTATGAGATTGAAAAATAAATAAGAGTTTTTAGATTAAATTTATCTTAAAAACTAGAAAACTCTGTGTCTCAGCCTCCTCGTCTGGGTTTATATTTTATGTGTTTAATCCCCATATTATAGCAATGTTTGGGTATTTCAGTGCCTCGGGTTAAGAGACGCTTGCAAGCTTTCTCTCTCCTGAGTCGGTGTCATCGTTTTTAACCCCGACGTTACCCACCAGCCATCATAAATAATGAATACATTTTTATTAGGCAGCCCTGGTGGGTATGGCATGTGTGTGAGGAGCGACTCTCTGAGGAGGGTCGCAGCGCTGCCAGTTCGGTTGTTCCCGCTGGTGGCCACAGAATTATATGTACATATATGTTTTTTCCGATATAAAGATAATGGGAAAATAAAAATATGTCTGTTCTTCTGGACGCTCCGCTTTCAAGAAAACGATGAAATAATCCATTCAGCGGTGTTCCAGAGGTTTCTTCCTCACCAATGTTCCTGAGACTGCTGGACGAGAGCAGTCTCGGCCCATAGAATCCTGTCTCTCGACTGAGATCGTTGAGACCATTCTCCAATCCAGAGCTCCTTCCACGAGAGAAACTATATGCATTGAAATGGAAATTATTCTCCATCTGGTGTGGCGAACATCACCAAGATCCTGTTAACTGCCCTGTTGGTACAGTTCTTGATTTCTTGCAAGACCGTTTCTCTGCTGGATTATCTCCTTCTACCTTAAAGATGAACTGAACTGAAATTTGAGAAAAGGTGATATAACAGATGTATTTTATTTATTCTCATTGGTACAATTTTTAAAATGGCAGAATTTGTTAAAAGGGATAAAATGGTACATTGAAAGTGTTGTTTTTGTTACACGGGCGCCGCCATGTTGGATTTCAACGTTCGACTACGTCACTGGCATGGTAAGCCACTCCGTTGCCTACCCGCACCAGCAGAACAGCCGTAGCTTGTAAACAGTCTGAGGCGCGCTGATATGGCTGAGGAAACAGATTTTTTAGCGACACACTATTTAGAGATGTGTACTTTCGCCAATGAGTACATGAAACGTCTGACAATGCACGAAATGTTTTATTTACACAAGTTACAAGTTCAACGCATCACGTTAACGTTAATCGAATCCTTGATATTCGGGTGAGGGGGAAAAGATCCCTAATGTATAGTAGTTCACGGTAAAGGATGGGATTCTCCTTCCTAAATGCACCCTCGTCCATAGAGTGAACTGCCAGTACGTTGTTAATCTAAACAATCTGAGAAAAGTGTAACAAGTTAGCCCAGCCTAGTCGCCTATTCGTAAAATACCCTGCTACTGATGGGGCGGTCCAGCGTCTCAGCTCGGACATCCATTAGAGACAGCATAGCCTCCTTCAACACGTTTCTCTCACCGAACAGCATCCGAAATGAACGGTGCATGGTGATGCATTTTTCGCCGATCAATAAATGTCCATGTTGACCTCTCTGCAACAGATCGTCTCCGTGCAGTGTCTATGCTCCACAGCGCTCGCGCCCGCAGTCACTTTCCTCCAATCGATCCTGTACTGCAAGTGAATCCTGAAACTGATCGTACTCCATGTGGTGGTAGTCAGACACTACCGGCCGGTCCCTCACGGGCTCAAATGCGTAATCCATGCCGTTAAAAGTGCTCATTTTCGTCTGTGTATACAGGACCTACAGCTGTTGTCTATGGCGCTCCGTGGGTCCTACCATGCCAGTGACGTCATCGGAACTGCCAGCGCAAACAAGCGCAATTTTGCGTTGCTTAAAAAAGCTATATTAATATATATATTTAAAAAATGTTTAGTGTAATTTACTTTTAATTGTCATAAACAACACGTTTTTAACGTCGATATTTTTCAGTTCAGTTCATCTTTAAAGGTTTACGTGGCGGCTATATCGGCCTACCACACCCCTCTGGGGGGTACTTCTATCAGGAGAGATCCTCTAATTACTAGTTTTTCTCGGTGGTACATGAGGTTGAAACCTGCACTGCACTTAGAGCACCGGCTTGGGATTTGGCCATTGTACTTGAGGGTCTGGCTTTGGCTCCCTTTGAGCCCATTGAAGAGGTTTCAGAAAAATTCCTCACTTTGAGAACATTTCTCCTTGCGGTTTCATTTACCGGAGATTAGGAGATTTGCATGCCCTGTCGGTTGCTCCTTTATGCCTGGAATCTGCACCGGGTATGGTAAAAGCATTTCTATACCCTAGACCGGGTTATACTCCTTAGGTCCCAGTTAATTTTTGGGGGCCTTATAGTGCTGCAGGCCTTTTATCCTCCACCTTTTAATACCCCAGATCAGGAACGACTGAACCTGTTATGTCCAGTTCGGGCATTAGATGCCTACGTTCACAGAGCTGCCCTGTGGCGTAACTTTGAACAATTATTTGTCTGCTTTGGGTCACTCAAGAAAGAGTCCCCTGCATCTAAACAGGTTATGAGCAAATGTATAGTCGAGGCTATATCATTAGCTTATGAAGCGGCTGAACAGCTTTCACCTATGGCTGTTCGGGCCCATTCTACTAGAAGTATGGCGGCCTCTACGGCCTTTATTCCGAGTGTTTCCCTTCTCGATATTTGTAATGCGGCAGGATGTCCTCTCTGCATACATTTGTCAGATTTTATGACCTTGGCCTCTCCACTCCTGGGGCTAGGTTGCTTGCTTCTTAGTGTGCGCAAGGACTTCACACAGAACGGGCATTTCTCAGCATGGCGTAGTGGGTATGGGGTTCCCATCGCGTTTGACAATGCAGCTCGAAGTTCCCTTGAAAGGGAACGTCTCAGGTTACGCATGTAACCCTGGTTCCCTGAGAGGGAACGAGAGCTGCGTTCGCCTGCCATACTTCCTGCATGCCCTGATCGACTTGCTTCAGGCCTTTCACAGAAGCTGTCGCGGTCTGGTCTCAAGGGTGCTTTATAGTTTCCTGGTCGATGACGTCACCTGACGTCCTACTATCTCATTGGACTGATTGTACAGACGCTTCACGACGCAATCACGCAGAGCGTTCCCATCGCGTTTGACAACGCAGCTCTCGTTCCCTCTCAGGGAACCAGGGTTACATACGTAAGTTACTGAGACGTTTCATAACATTCTGATGAAGCTGTGATTTTTTAAATTTCAAAACTGAAAATTTTTCGATCAGAAATGACCGAAGAACACCTGAGGGTTAAGTCATTAGTCGACTAATCCCACATTTATATTATATTAATAAGCCATTAATCATAATAATGTGCCTTTAATTGCCTATATAAAATACATATAGCCTAATCAGTACATAAATGCACACATAAATCTTGTCACAGCGCACCGGTAAAAGTAATGATTATGAATGTGTTGTGAAAAAAACGTTTTTTTTTTTTAATTGAAAAATTAATTAATGATGTTTTCTGTGTTTCTGGCTGCAGAGATTAAGTCTTTAAGCTGACTCTACTCTGAGTTTCAGTTCATTCATGTCATGCGCTCAAGTTCACTGAGACTGAGCCATTATTTTAACAAAAGCACAATGTTATGTTATTATTGTGAGTTTACAACAATTAAAGTAGACCCTTAACAGTTTAGATTTCTCTTATCTGTAAGAGCAAAACCAACAGAGCATCATCATCATCATCATCATCTTGATGTCGACAGGTAATGGACACTCACTTGGACCCCACACATATTTACACTGACTGTCTCTCGTCTTGCACTCTCCAGCGTAGCAGCGGCCCTGCAAAAACAACACAATCCCACTAATCAAGTTAAACACCTTCATATATCAATCAGACAGATTGATCAGACGATTACTGGCCTTATTGAGATCAATAGCATTAATATGATGACTCTTTCCAATGGCTAATGAACATATAAAGTAGAACATACGTTCTACTTTAACATTACCAATATAATTATAATAGAACAGTGGAAGTGGATAATATAATAGAAGTGGAAATAGGTGTATGATGTAAAAAAATAAAATCCTACATACATGGAAACTCTGTTTACTTTTATCTAATGTAAAATCTTAATTAAAATGAGTTTTGTAAAGAAATATATATCAGATCGAAGCTCTTCAAGATTACAACAAATTCCAGACTAGTCATCCCCTGCTTTCTTGATACTGTTACTGGCCATTTAAAGTCCCCCAGCGTTAAAATGTTGTTGTTATGTGGTGTTTTTGATATGCTTTAAAATAAACCATGTGTAAATTCATAAGTCGAAAGCATTGCAGCATTTAAATATTTAATTTTAGTGATCGACTTCAGGTGTGTGTACCTGTTCGAGAGAGCAGAAGTAGCCGTCCTGCTTGTGTAGATTGGGAGGGCACTGCACACACACACACACACGCACACAGAGATGCAAAGAAAGGTTCAATAAAGACATGCATAATCAGACTGTTGTACGTGTTTGGAGTCGTGCTGACCTGGCCTGAGTCTCCTGAGCACGTCTCTGAAATATCACAGTCATTCACTGCATAGCGGCAGGTGTAACCTCGCGGGTAGAACTGAGACAAGAGAGACACGAGACACACTTCGTGAAGATTACCAGTGCTTACTGTATTGCATGAGCACCCATAGATTTATAATTCATTATGTTTTCATTTGTCGTGCTTTATAGAAGTACACTTATTTTGACATGACCAATGTACATGTAAATTAGCTTGATAATCATTTTAACAGTACTGTTAAACTCGTTGCCTTAAAATGATTAAGTAAATAAACTTCCTTCAGTAACAGATGTGTGCAGATAGGAAGACGTAGACACAGAATATGAAGATTCAAACGGGTAACTTTACTTATAATAATCCAACAGGTCAGCGATCCACACAGAAATACAAACACACACCATAGTGTTAACGATACTGGACAAAGAGTGCAGGATAAGGTGACCTATACATACACAAACTCAAACGAGATGATTAAACTAACAGCTGACACGGATGAACTAACAATGATACTGATGAGTGACGATAATCACAACAATCCATGAAAACTAAACTAAGGGGGAGTTTACATGACACCGTTTTCAACTAAATTTTTTTTAAAAATGTATCCGTTTTGGTTGTTCGTTTACACGACAACAGCGTTTTGTGCGCCTGAAAACGCAAAATCTTGTTTCAAAGTGTACGTTTTTGAAAACGGTCTCCGTGTAAACAACAAAAACGCAAATCTCTGAAGTCATGCACATACATATTACGTGTTTCATCGCCATCTACTGGCCTGTCAGCAGAATACAGCGTTTTTAATCGTTTCGGCGTATCCGTGTGAATGGGGATCGCTTTGACACTGGTGTCGTCTGTACGTGGAAAACTCAAAGGAAAATCTTCTCCGTTTTAAGCATATCAATGTCGTGTAAACGTACCCTAAACTGAACAGAATGGTGACACCTGCATAATGGAAAAAGCTATCTGGAATTGTTAAAGCTACAATACCTAAGATTTTATGCCGCTAGAGGGCGCTACATTCAAAACAACAACAACGGCTTTGCTTGATGACGCCGTGGAGGAACGCGGAATGATGGGAACTGTTGTTTTCAACTCCACCGTGGATAAATCAGTCAGACGGGAATCGAAAATTAGTTATTATAACTGTTGCGTTTAATGACATGCTTGTTTTTCATTAAACTGAAATAACCGCAAGAAGTCAGGTTTTAATGTAAATTAGTTATCACAGATGTTAGGGGAGAGCCGGGACGGTTGAAACACTTTTCAGATAAACGTCGTTTTCTAAGATACAGCCAACAGTTCACATTACGAGAAGTATTTGCGGTGAATATGACCTTACGACTTTTCACATCATTTGCATAGACAACAAGACGTTACATAAACGTTTGCGTTTATGAGACTTGTCTTTGTCGACATAACCAGGTAATCGCTAAAGAATAATTGTGCTCCATTCCATAACAAATGCGTGAAACAAGCTGACGTTTGTTGCTTGATAGACGCTAACGCACAACTACAACTTCCGCATTTGTCCAGGACTACACGCAATACGAGCGAAAACCGAGGTAACGCGGATATGACGTGATTGACTGGCGACTCCCAGCTCACACACCCCGTTTCCTTGGTTAAAATCTCAATTTTCTCGCAATTTAAACATTGTTTGAAACATTTGGAATATTGTAAGTTATCATCTTAACTAAATATATAACACTGGCCTTGTGATTTTGGGATATTTTAATGCAAAAATCTTAGGTATTCCCCCTTTAAGGTCACAACTTAATTTTTAAATTACATGAAGTGTATTTACTCACTTTTTTAAGTTAAGTCAACTGTTAATTTTTACAGTGTAAGTGTGACTGACTCTCACCAGGCATGTTTTATTGCAGCAGGGTCCATCACTGCAGTGTGCATCGTTAGACAGAGAACACTTCTTACAGCACTCTTTAATGCACTCCTATAACACACACACACACACAGAGAGAGAGGAGACACACATATAACAGCTGAATACTGCTGTGAAACTGTAGTGAGCTTTACCGTATATGTGCTGTCTGAGTATCACATCAACTCACTTCTCTTGGTCCACAGTCACACTCCTCTCCCACTTCTACATATCCATTTCCACACTCGGTCTCTTCAAACAGCTGCAGGACATACATGCAAACGACACGAGGATGAGCAGATAATGGACGAATTTTCATCATTTTGGGGTTTCTCTATAAATGTTATTAAAAGTGCCCTTGTAATCTACTTTAAATCTTAAAAATATATATATTTTTAAAAAATGGGTCACACTTTACTTTGCAAGTGTCAGTGTCAACTATCAATTAGTGTGTCAGTTAGGGATGTGCACGAATATTCAAATTTTCATACGTAATTATTATACGAAAAATGAAATACTATGAATTTTACTAAGTTGCTTTGCTGGCCGTAAATGCAGTGAATCCATGATAAAACACAAGCACTAACTCGCAGTTATAATTAATTGCACTGGGTGGCGCTGTGGAGTGTGTTCAACAAGTTTGTATTTGAGCACATAATGTTGTCGTCAGCCTCACGGAGTTTGGAATTGGGCTACTCGGATGAAAATTATCTTACTAAAATATCTTACAAAATGGAATTACTTTTGATCAAATTAATAAATGAAGAATATATCCACCATGAGAAATCACATCAGTCGACTGAGGAAAGACAGCTGTCCGTCACTGCATCACGACTGCAGGTATGTCTCAGATGATAACTTATCTTATAGCTAAATGATTATGAGACATATGTTTCCTTTACATTTCATTGAGGGAGACGGGTTTAAGAGCAGAAAACGCGAAGTGCTGTTAGAAACTTCGCGTAGAACAGCGTTATCTTTGTCTCTGCCGCATGTTTCCTCACTCGAGCATGTGGATATTATTGTTTTCTCAACACGAACGTGAAACAATATAAACACGATAACCATATTCTGACTCGGCCTGTACGATAACTGGCGTGACCTGCTTTATTAGCGTTTTTTTTCTCCGTTAGCCTGCTTGAGCTTAAATGCTTTTTTTCTTTATATTTGTTGTTTACTCATATTGTTTAATGTTTTCAACTAAAAGAAAACCTTAAGATATATTTTAAGCTTGTTGTGTATGTTGCCTAATCATAAGCTTGTTCAGAAATGGTGACGTAAAAAAACAACAACTTAAACTTAAAAAATAAACGTTGTTACACGTCATTTAAATAAATGAATATTCGATGAATATTTTTATGCAATATTTTGGAAAAAATGCCCATCGCTAGTATCAGTAGACTGTTAGGTTAGGTGTTAGGACACAGAAAAGTAGAACAAGTTGACGTAGTTACGAGTGTCGCTTCGCAGTCAAAGGCAAACAGAAGTCATTATAATGCCTGACGCTGTCTACAGTCGTGCTAGTTTCTGACACCCCATGCGCTTGAGTCTGTCAACAACAGGACAAATGGAAGAGTGAAAGAACATTGGCTTTTAAACTACAGTTTCTGCTTTAACATCTCTGGAATACCTCACCATATAAACATCATATTTCATTTGTTTCTACAAACCGAGAGATGTGTTATTATAGAAAACAATTCCTGTGGTAATGCGCAGCATGTCACAGATGAGATGACATATTTAAATGAAAGGTGGGGCGACTTGTCTCTTCATACTTTCTCATGCTGTTTCTTATTTTTGGATACATTCTGATGATGTTAATGATGCCAGACCTTGGTGGGTTTGTTAAAGAGGCAGGATCCCCCTCCCTTCAACAGGAACTCTTTAAAACCAGTGATACTGCACTTGGAGAAGATCCGTGTGAGCTGAATCCTGAGCAGAAATGAAGAACAGTTTTGCAACAATTTACTCCCCCTGACAGACCCATTGAGATGCATGTTATTTGCATGTTATAAATAGGGAATAATTGCAGTTATTATGTATACACAATAACAATGATTGTGTGTTTTATAGCTTGTGTGGTGACAGGTGAGTTGATATTAATGAGTGTATGTCTTAAAGTGCCCTATTATGCTTTAAGGTTTTTCGAATACAACCTTTCATGCAGTTTTATGATATACAGTGTCTGTGTGTGAATGAGAAAAGGCTTTAAAGTTAAAATTATTTAAAGGTTTGTATTTGTACTTGCAGATTGGCATAATGACAATCTATGTTTGTCACTGGCTGCTGGTGAACAACATCTACTTTGACCCTCAGACTGAGACAGGAAGAGTTTGGTCGAGAAGACGCTGTTTTCTCCTGCCAAAGAAAATCAACTGTGATGAGAATGATACGGTAAAACCCACGCCATCGTTACTGTTCGTATCACTGTGTATCAAGAGATGAAATTAGGATGGGCGCATGATTTCAGACACGAAGCAGTCAACCAATCATAACAGACTGGGCCATCTGACCAATCACAACAGACTGGGCCAACTGACCAATCAGAGCAGAGTAGACTAATCACAGCAGACTGGGTCATCTGACCAATCAGAGCAGAGTAGACCAATCACAACAGACTGGGCCATCTGACCAATCACAACAGACTGGGCCATCTGACCAATCAGAGCAGAGTAGACCAATTACAACAGACTGGGCTATCTGACCAATCAGAGCAGACTCTTTGAAAGGGGGGGTGGGGGTAGAGAGACTGAATCCTGTATCAAACTGTTAAAAGAGTAAAGTGTATTATGAAAAAAAGTTTCTTGACTTTAAAATGAAAACCAGTTGCAGGAGACTTCAAAACAAAATTAAGAGCCTTTAAAATATCATAATAGGGGCACTTTGATAGTTGCATTATTGTATGTGTTGATGGTGTTTGTGTGTAGGTCATGACAGTGTCAGTGTTTATAAAGTGATGTCAGAACTAAACGGCTGTCTAAATGTTGATGAGTACATTGTACATTGATTATGAAGACTTGTCATATATCACAACATGTGTTTGTGTGAAAGTGTCTCACCCATTGTCCTCCATGATGCAGCCTAGCCAGGAGTTCATGCACCCACAGTCATCTGATAAAACAGAACACACACAGCGAGTTTATGCTCAATATGTAATATCTCAGTATCAAAGTAAGTTTGTGCTGTCATATTATGTCATCTTTGTCATGTAATCTAAAAAGCAATCAACAATTGAGCAAGATTATGAGAAAGAGTGCGTACTTTTTATTGATGTTGTATCCCACTGAATCCCAAGATTCTGAGCCAAACTCTGGGACAGCACGAGCGCCAATGTCCGCGTAGACCCATACTGCACATTCATCACACACAGAGAGAGAGGAGAGACAAAAGAAATTAAGAGACATTTAGAATAGATAAAAATGTGCGATTAATCGCGAGTTAACTATGACATTAATGCGATTAATCGCGATTGAATATTTTAATCGTTTGACAGCACTAATTTTACTCAGATTGAAAAAAACTATTTTAAATTGTAATTTCTAAATATTTCTCTTTTTTTACCGTATTTACTGTATCAAATAAATTCAACCTTGGTGGGCATAAAAGACTTCTTCCAAAAACATTGAAATAATTATTTTGTACGCTAGTTTGCAAACTTAGCTCAGTTCAAACTAAGAGTTCGGTGTGTAAACCCAGCTGTAATATTCACTACCATGCTGTGAGTCAGTCATGTGATCACTCACCTCAACGACTCCGACCCCGCGACTCACGGAACACATCCCTCCAAAATACGCCGCGCAGCCGCGAGTATAGTGAAACGTCACGTTCCTGCACACACACACCGTTACGCACAAGTCATTTCTGCACGTGTGTAAGCAGTGATGCACAAACACGAACTCACGAGAACAGATGCACAGAATCCGCGTGCTTCCTGATGTGTTGCTGTCGGTATTTGGAAAAGTTTCGCAGCATCTCGAACGGAATCACGCTAATGGGAATGTGATCCTTGTCCGTCCAGATCTCCAGGGCGACCAGGACCACACGCGTGTACAGGTGATCTTTAAAACTCTTCCATTAGACAGAGAGAACGAAATGAACAACATCTTTCCATTTAATATATACACATAATACACTTTTTTGTGTCTACCGGTCCCAAACCATTATGAAATTTCTGAAATTCAGCTCAAAAACTCACAGCATCCACCAGGTTGACCACAGATTTGGCAAAGTTGAGTGTGCGCTGCTTAGTCCCCAGTCTCTTATACTGTGAGATAATATTAATATAGTCATAACCTGATCATAAAAGCATCAAACAAACACTCAAAACACTAATACTGCATTAGTGTGGAGAACAAACAAAGAAGAGCACCCTCCAGTGGAGGCATCTCAGATTTACTCAAGACTGCATTCACATTCTGTTTAAACATTAGTCAACTATTGTTTTATTTAATTAAATCAAACTGAATCTTGCATAACTAGATAAAAACGTAAGATAAAATTGGTCAAATTATTTTGATGAGTTAAAGTGGAACATGGAAAAGCACATATTCACACACACACACCATGTTGTGGTCGATGACGATCATCAGCTCGATGTACTTCATCTCCTCAAACAGGTTCCTCGGGATCTGGAGGAGAACACACACTTCTGAACACAGCTTCTGTATCAATGCTACTATAAACACTCTCCTACATTACAATCTCTCACAATCTGCAGGAATGTGCTCGGTCCTTGAATGGATCCCAATTTACATCTGCAACAACATCATTTAATTTATGGACGGAAAAACAAACCTTTTTTGCCTAGTGAGAACATTTTTCTGGGGATGGGAAAGTGTGGGATGAATATGATGTAGTATGGCCTTTCTGCAGATTGGGATGTAACCTTTGTGTTCTTAAGTGCCAGAGACTATCTGTTCGACATTATGGTGTGTGTGTGTGTGTGTAGGTTTGCATTGACAGTGTTTTGCTCATCTCCTTTGTGGCCTGTGGCCCAGCTCAAACTCTTACAGCTCGCTTTTTCCTCCGGTGAAGCCAAGACAAATCCTCCTCCATGCCTGCACACACACACACACATAAACAAACATGAGTGTTCGTCGCCACTTCCTTTGTTTGTAATGCTCAATTCATAGATTCCTTCCCAAAACAAGTGTATCATTGTTTTCAGTGACAGAAAGAACAAGATGTAGAGTAACTGAGGAAATCAGCACATTCAGTGCTCTCAGAGGAAAGTTATGTGCCATGAAAAAATTTTAATTGATAAGGGACACAAAATTCTCATACTATTCATGATACTAGTAGCGAGTTTACAAACTTAAAAAACAAGCTATTTTTGTAGACAGTTAAATTTAATAGGACAGCTAAAGGGATACTCCACTTTTTTTGGGAATAGGCTAATTTTACAACTCCCCCAGAGTTATAACGACATCTCTGACGGTTACTCGTTTGAAAATCGGTAGAAAACTGAGGAAGTTATGGTTATTTAAATAGTATATGCACCATTAAAACTTAATGTTATGAGTAAGCGAGCTGACTGTGGCAAGATGGCCGCCAGGTGCAGACGTTGACCTCCATTGGCCAGCAGCGTGGACGAGATATCTAGCCTTTATATGTGGATATCTATGTTCAGGATCAGTAGAAACTCACAGGTAGGTGTGTTTGATCAGGGTTGGAGCTAAACTTTGAAGGGACAGTGGCCCTCCAGGACCTGGTGTATGCTAAGCTATGCTAAAAGTGGTACCGCCAGAACCGGAGATCGGGCGAATGGATTAAAAAACGGTAAAACTCAACAGTTTAACTCTGGGGGAGTTGTAAAATGAGCCTATTTCTAAAAAAAAAAAAAGTGGAGTATCCTTTTAACACTTTACTTCTTGCTGTCTACAGTCTCCTTCAGCAGACATTTTTGAATGATACTTTAAAGAAAGTTCACCCCAAAATGACATCATTATATTGAAAGCGTCTCGGGTTGCATATGTGAGCTGGTTCCCTGAGAAGTGGAACGAGATGCTGACGCTATGGGGAACGCCCTCGGCACACACCAGTTTTAAAAAGTATTTTTGTAAACGCACACATTTTATTGGCTGACGACAGTCCATGATGTCACTATGCGTATAAAAGAGTCATCACCTCTGCAACCACCATAGCTACTGTGAAAATGATAATCAACTACTTAGTCAACACTGCAAACAAAAGTGTACCTCTTGGCAAAAGATTATTAAAATATGACTTAGATGTATTTAAATTAAAATGTACGTTAAACTTTTAGTTTGACGTTATTACAAAGCGTACTTACTTAAGTGTGTAATGAAACAGTCTTAAAAAGGTTCTGCGCTTAAATCGCCTTTCGTTTCATTTCAGTTTAAAAAATATATATTTTTAAAGGAGTAGTCATTTCAAAAAAACTTTTGCTGATAATTTACTCACCCCCATGTCATCCAAGATGTCCACGTCTTTCTTTCTTCAGTCAAAAATTAACGAATCTTCTTTTGAGTCATTTCGTTCGTTGAATGAACCAAATGACTCGAAAAAAGATTTGTTTATTTTGATAAACGAGTTCGAACAGAGCATTTGAGCTTATAAAACGTAAATTTTGTTATTTATTTATTAAATGAGCGATCGTTTCGCTTGATAAGACCCTTATTCATCGTCTGGAATCGTTTAAAGCCCTTTGAACAGTTTGCATTTTGCACTGAAACTGTCTTTTGGACCTTGAACCGTTTGGTTCCCATTGAAGTCCATTATATGGAGAAAATCCTGGAATGTTTTCATCAAAAACCTTCATTTCTTTTCGACTGAAGAAAGAAAGACATGGACATCTTGGATGACATGGGGGTGAGTAAATTATCAGCAAAAGTTTTTTCAAAAGTGAACTACTCCTTTAAGATTTGAAGTACACTGCAACTGCACATTAAATACATTTATATACCCTTTCCCCCCTCAAAGAGGTTAGTATTTTGAGTGTGTTGATGTGTGATGTGTGATGTGTGATGTGCATGTACCGTCCTCTCCTGTAGGTGGCGTTTGCTTCAGGATACTGGTCCTGCGTAAGACATGTGGTCTCGCTGTTCCCTCCTAATGAAACACACACACACAGTATGAGTTTTAAATGGCATTCTGCTTTTCATTAGTGTTTATAATGAATTGTGTTTCTTTGGTTTGTTTTTTTAGAAGATGGTTTGTTAGTTTAAAATTAGATGTGGTTTATTAAAGTGTTTAGAGTTGATGTGGAGAGGAAATAGAGCTGTTTTAACACAACGACTCTACTGATCAAAACATGATACAACCATTCTCTTTCCTTATAACAAATTTGTACATATTCTCTAGACTTCATATGACCAAAATAATCTTTTGATAATAAAATAATAACAAAATAATAAAGTCGAATTGTGTGTGACAGAAGTGTGACTTTTTTTCTCACAATTGGGAGTTTACATCTCGCAATTCTGACTTTATAACACATAATTGCGAGTTTATATGTCGAAATTCTGACATCTTTTCTCAGAATTGTGAGATATAAACTCGCAATTGCAACTTATTAGGTCAATTTTAAGGGGAAAAAAAGACAAACTTTTTTCCCCCTCAGAATAGTTTAAATCTCACAATTCTGACTTTATATCTCGCATTTCTGACTTTATAACTCGCAATTCTGACTTAATATCTCGCATTTCTGACTTTATAACTCGCAATTATGACTTTATATCTCACAATTCTGACTTTATATCACGCAATTCTGACTTTATATCTCGCAATTCTGACTTTATATCTCGCAATTCTGACTTTATAACTCGCAATTATGACTTTATATCTCGCATTTCTGACTTTATAACTCGCAATTATGACTTTATATCTCGCACTTCTGACTTTATATCTCGCAATTCTGACTTTATATCACGCAATTCTGACTTTATATCTCGCAATTCTGACTTTATATCTCACAATTCTGACTTTATATCACGCAATTCTGACTTCATATCTCGCAATTCTGGCTTTATATCTCGCAATTCTGACTTTATATCTCACAATTCTGACTTCATATCTCGCAATTCTGACTTTATATCTCACAATTCTGACTTTATATCACGCAATTCTGACTTCATATCTCGCAATTCTGACTTTATATCTCACAATTCTGACTTTATATCTCACAATTCTGACTTCATATCTCGCAATTCTGACTTTATATCTCACAATTCTGACTTTATATCTCACAATTCTGACTTTATATCACGCAATTCTGACTTCATATCTCGCAATTCTGACTTCATATCTCGCAATTCTGACTTTATATCTCGCAATTCTGACTTCATATCTCGCAATTCTGACTTTATATCACGCAATTCTGACTTCATATCTCGCAATTCTGGCTTTATATCTCGCAATTCTGACTTTATATCTCGCAACTCTGACTTTATATCTCGCAATTCTGACTTCATATCTCGCAATTCTGACTTTATATCTCGCAATTCTGACTTCATTTCTCGCAATTCTGACTTTATATCTTGCAATTCTGACTTTATAACTCGCAATTCTGACTTCATATCTCGCAATTCTGACTTTATATCTCGCACTTGCGACTTTATATCACGCAATTCTGACTTTATATCTCACAATTCTGACTTTCCATCTCACAATTGTGAGAAAAAAAGTCAGAATTGTGAGATAAAAAGTCGCAATTACCTTTTATATTTTTCCTTCAGTGGCAGAAACAAGCTTCCATAGTTTTCTATGTGAATAATCAGCCCATTCTCACTCCCAAGGCGTCACCTAACTGACGCCTTGGGAAGCATTTGGACATGCTTCAATATCTGACGCTTTAGGCGCCTTTTAGCGTCAGTTAGATGACGCCCTAGGATCGCGTGTACCCTACCCCCACCCCACACCTAAACCTAACCGCGTCCTCTAACAGACGCTTTCCTTTAGCGTCAGTTAGATGACGCCGTAGGATCGCGTCACGTAAGTGACGCTAAAGGGCGCCTAAAACGTCAAATATTGAAGCATGGTCAAAGGTGACGCCTTGGGGTGAGAATGCGTTGGAATAATATATATAACTGTAATTTATTCCTGTGATCAAAGCTGAATTTTCATATGATGTATGATGTTCAAGAATCTGCTTTTATTATAATCACAGTTGTTATTCTGATTAATGCAATACAGTGTCTTTTTGATGAACAGAAAGTTTGAACAGCATATATTTCAAACAGAAATCTTTTGCAATATTATAAATGTCTTTACTGTCATTTTTGATCAATTTAATGCACCGCTGCTAAATAAACATATTAATTTCTTTCAGGAACATCACATCTAACTCTAAGAATTTACTATGTATTCATCACCACATGATAATATTAGACTTGAGTTGATAAAAGTTGGTCTTAAAGTGATATTTAGTCAAGAAAACTTACAATAGAGTGAGTCTGATTAAGAGGCTCAATTGTGTACACATGGAGTCCGTCATCAAACATGCCACTGGGAACCAGAGAGAGACACACAGTTATGACGATTCATTCGGACATTACAAACCACAGTACAATGAGTTATAGCAACATAATTTGTAGCATAAACATGCATTACTCAAATTAACTTAGAATGGTGAATAAATACAGGCACAACTGAATAAGTCCGTATTGAGAGAGTGTTTAAGTGTGTACTCACTGTAGACCGTTACAGGTGGACAGAGCGGCGTGAGAGTTGTCATTCCCTCTGATGTGGCCGTGGTAGTAACAGTGCTCTCCACCCTGACAACACACACATTTAGGGACTTAGGACACATACACACCTGGTCACTTCATCCGATCATGAAAAGACCAGCTGTAAACGCCCGCAGATATAAGACAGATATAGATCTGATCCCACAAACCACCCCAGGCTTGCCAGATGAGCGTGGGCAAAAAGTGGACATGCGTCTGGTTGTTAAAACCATAATGTACATTTTACTCCGTCCAAGTGGGTTAACCCTTATGCTGCATTAGGGACATTTTTGGTCTTTTGCAGTTTAATTTCTTTGACCATTTTGGCTGTTTTAATGCAAATGGTATGAAATTTGGCAAAATTGTGACTTTTTGGATACATGTAAAAAATGTGATCCCATTTTGCAAAATATGTATAACACACACTGTGTAGATCAAATAGTAACACTCAGCACCATAAAGACCAAAAATGGCCCATTGAAACCCATTAAAACGTTGTTTAAATCTGAGGCTGTCAGTAATACATGAAACATGATTTTTGCACAAACATCCTTTCATTTTGAAGCAAAAGCATTATATTTGCATTATATAGTGTATTCCACCAGATGACGTCACTACATATTTATTCCCTATGGGTGGAAATGCACCTTATTTTAGGCAATAGGCAATGTTTAATAGGTGGCCATTTTTGGTCTCTAACGCGCTAAGTGGGATTTTTTGCAAAGTGGGACTGTGATAATCCAAATCTAAAGTTTTCTCTTTTTGAAAATAATTGAATTTTTGTGTTTTTTCCTCTTATACAAATCGATGGTTTCGCAAACAAAACTGGTAATTAAATGGTTAAAATCCTGAAATTGAATACATTTTTGGTAGTTATGATGAGGACTGATGCTGGTTAAAAGATTTAACTTGGTAAAAGTGGAAAATAATAATAATATATAATATTTTAGGCAATGTTTAATATGTGGCCATTTTTGGTCCTTAATGCACTCAACGGTGTTAAAAATCTAATGCAGCACAAGGGTTAAAAAAGTGTGAGAGCTCAGCTTGGCTACAATGAATGACAGTCATGGATGTTATTCCATGTTGTAGACAATGAGTAAGTTCTCTAGATGCAATAAAACAAACATTTTGGTGGGAAAAGACTAAATATAAATGGAATCAATCCTTAAAATGCTTAAAGTCCCCTTGTAGTCAATAATTGTACCCCCCTTAAAACTCACCTTTGATCGCCAAAATGACATTATTTCGTCATGCCTTAAAATATCTTGAATGTAACTCGACACCCTTGCCTCATTTAGTACGCGGTTCTATGAATATGCAAATGAGCCCCGCCTCCACTCACTCAACTCACTCAGAGATCCACTGGTTGACGATCACACTTTGATCTGATTGGTTACAAGGTGGTTTGTGACGTCAGAAACACCAGCGATTTCACAGCGTGTGTTTGAGACAGATCTCTTCATCTTTAAAGTTGAGAGCATTTTATGTACTGATTCCTTTTACATTCAGTCTTTTCCCTCCAAAAATGTTTGTTTTCATTTTTTTCTTTCTCCTTCTGCATTCTTTGATCTTGAAATAAGCGGATTGTTTTTGATTATCAGTTACTTTCATTGACATAAATTATTATTTTCCCGACTATTATACATTTTCCTGTATATCTGTGTACAAATGCATGAATGTAAATGCTTAACAGTTTGATGTTGGTATCTAACAGCCTCTCTGCTTTGCTATGGTGGAGTAACTGCGTTTGCTGGTCATGTGACCTGACCTGCAGGTGAACAAGCCGTGCTGACTCAGCAGTGAAGTCTTGATTTACCGCTTTCAGCACTTATCAGCATCCTCTCTTTCTCTCTCTCATGCTCTTATACTCTCCCCTTTCTCACAATCTCTGTCACATCTGTCATCTCTCCCGTCACACAACACTGTAGGCGGTTAAATTATTACACGGTAACGCCCAACGAGTTCGGATGACTCATTTCAATTGAGGATATTTGGGGTGCTGTCCAAGGAAAGGGTTGAAGCTCCAAGCTCTGAATGTGGCCAAAACCCAGATCACCCCCGCCCCCATCCCGTTTAAAACTTAAATGATGTTTTATTAAAGGAGTAGTTCACTTTAAAAAAAAAAAACAAAAAAAAAAAAAACATGTCATCCAAGATGTCCATGTCTTTCTTTCTTCAGTCGAAAAGAAATTAAGGTTTTTGATGAAAACATTCCAGGATTTTCTCCATATAATGGACTTCAATGGGGTCCAAACGGTTCAAAGTCCAAAAGACACTTTCAGTGCAAACTAATCAAAGGGCTTTAAACGATTCCAGACAACGAATAAGGGTCTTATCAGGCGAAACGATCACTCATTTAATAAATAAATAACAAAGTTTAAGTTTTATAAGCTCAAATGCTCGCCTTTCTCTGTTCTGTGATGCGCGTTCGTGACTCTCCTGTTCATCAAAATGAACAAATCTTTTTTCATGTTATTTGGTTCATTCAACGAACGAAATGAACAAATTGACTCGGAAAATATTTGTTCATTTTGATGAACGAGTTCGAACAGGAGAGTCACGAACGCGCATCACAGAACAGAGCAAGGCGAGCATTTGAGCTTATAAAACTTAAACTTTGTTATTTATTTTTTAAATGAGCGATCGTTTCGCTTGATAAGACCCTTATTCACCGTCTGGAATCATTTAAAGCCCTTTGAACAGTTTGCACTGAAACTGTCTTTTGGACCTTAAACCATTTGGTTCCCATTGAAGTCCATTATATGGAGAAAATCCTGGAATGTTTTCATCAAAAACTTTAATTTCTTTTCGACTGAAGAAAGAAAGACATGGACATCTTGGATGACATGGGGGTGAGTAAATTATCAGCAAAGTTTTTCTAAAAGTGAACTACTCCTTTAAGGATATCCTTGTTTATTACCATGTGAACTAATCACCAACACCTGTCCTTTATTTATCCTCTTGTTACCTTTGTGTATTTAAACCTTCAGACATTGTTTGGTGTTAACGTCATAATCGTGCTGGTGTTTTTCGTTATTGTTCCTTGTGTTTATTGAATGTGATTTCATTATTCATCTGCATCAAGCCAGTACGCGACAGCTTCTTTTAATACAAGTTTATTCCATTGGCACGTGCTCATTTGAGTCCCAGTGATTTACTATTGATATTATTAACAGGAAAGATAAAAGAGGATTTATTACAGGGCACACAGAAAATATCTGAAATATCTTTCAAGTACGAAACCAAATGAACTGGGCTTCTTTCCCAATTGTAGTTACGTGCAATTTAAAAAAAGGTTTAAAATGTTTTTTATTAGAAAAGTATGATTTAAGGTAGACTGGGACATATGTATCATTTCCTCTTCAAGAGGATGATTAGGATTATTATGCAGTCTGTTTCTTGCCATTCCATTAATATTCAAATTATTGTCAGTATTACATTTTTTTTTAATTTATTATTTTTCTTTTTCTTTTTCACGTTATAATTGTATTGTGTGACTTATTTTTAGCTAAAATGTACTGCAAATGATTAAGTTTTTTTTTTTTTTTTTGTCTCTCAAAAAGGATAAATTATGATATTTTGTAAAGAGAAAACAGTAGCCGTTTCAAATCTAGATTTGTAAAAGGGGAAGGTAAATATACTGTAAGTTAGCTTCTTCCTTCTCCTTTTTTTTCTATATTCTTTTTTCTTCTCTTTTGAACATGCTGAGATTTTGTTTTTATTATTTTTTGTTTAAATATGCTCTGTTATCAATGACCATGTTCTGAAGAGGAAAAGGAAATGAAAAGAAATAAATTATTCATTCATTCGAAACTCTGTGAGTGAGGTTCAGCAGAAATTTTTCAAATTAAATTATATGGCTATTATTATTGCAATGATTACGATAGCCATTGTATGACTAACTATTCTTTAAGCCGCTTTTCCACCGTCCAGTTACATTCCAGTTTTGTCTCCACTTGAGATTGGTTTGGCACGGCTCGATTACAAATAGTTCATAGCCTGGAATTCTCAGAACAGTTGGCTAACAAACTAAACACACGTTATTGATAAAATTAAAATAAATGTGTGATCATTCTCCATTACACAGTCGCTATTTACACCTCACAACATCTATAAACTCTTGCATTACCAAAGCAACGACTGACGCATTTGTATCACATTCCAAAGAGCTTCTTTATCAGACCCACAATGGAAAATTAAACCGTTTCCATCCCAGCTGGACCGGATCAGCACGGAGTGGAAAGCAACGAGAACAGTCTGGCCCGACGGAGGAAAAGCAGCTGTACAATTCAGTGAAGTTACAAACAATGAATTGAAAAAGCCTAGTTTATACCTTCCCGAGGATGGGCTTCCCGTCCTCATAGTGAATCTCCACATAGTCGGAGGACAGCAGGTCACTGGAACACACAAACACACACAGATATGAACTGGTACAAACGTATGATCTTCTGTTGATTCTGGATATCAGAAGGCTCAGGTTTACGCATAGGTCCTGTTTTCTCAACCACCTTTGGCTGTAGAGTATTTGCTTTGAAAGCAAAGTATCTGAATCCAATTTTGTTGAACTGCATTCAGTTCAACATACTCTCATGTGAAACACGTTTTCTGCATATTTGCAGCCTTTCTGAAACTTGACATCTGTAACGTACCCATACACAGATGTATTCAAGAGCTATTAGAGATCCTGCAAATGGATAACACCTCATCATACGGTTCGTATTTAAAAAAAAAACGACCCCAGTATAGAAGATAGTCTTGTATTTATCAGAGATGAAAATGCTTGTCTAATACTGACAAGTAGCCTAAACAGAAAAATCTGTACCTTTAGCCTATAGTTGTACATAATCTTATGATCGAGATATGCTTAAGAAAGTTATCAGTATTTAAAATATACTTTTCTTGAAGTTGTATTTAACTTGCAAATAGAGCAAGTCTATTTATGTATTTTATAAATCATTGGGATAACTAAATAGGCAGTGTTAACAAAGTCTAATTCAAGTACAGTTAAAGGAGTAGTTCACTTTTAAAAAAAACGTTTGCTGATAATTTACTCTCCCCCTTGTCATCCAAGATGTCCATGTCTTTCTTTCTTCAGTCGAAAATAAATTAAGATTTTTGATGAAAACATTCCAGGATTTTCTCCATATAATGGACTTCAATGGGAACCAAATGGTTTAAGGTCAAAATGAGAGTTTCAGAGCAGCTTCAAAGGGCTTTAAACGACACCAGACGATGAATAAGGGTCTTATCTAGGACCCTTCGAGTCATGACTCGAAAAAAGATTTGTTCATTTTGATGAACGAGTTCGAACAGGAGAGTCACGAACGCTCATTACAGAACAGAGGCGAGCATTTGAGCTTATAAAACTTAAACTTTGTTATTTATTTATTAAATGAGCGATCGTTTTGCTTGATAAGACCCTTATTCATCGTCTGGAATCGTTTAAAGCCCTTTGAAGCTGCACTGAAACTCTCATTTTGACCTTGAACCGTTTGGTTCCCATTGAAGTCCATTATATGAAGAAAAATCCTGGAAGGTTTTCATGAAAAACCTTAATTTCTTTTCGACTGAAGAAAGAAAGACATGGACATCTTGGATGACATGGGGGTGAGTAAATTATACTACTCCTTTAAAAATTTTAACTGTACAAAAGATTCCCGATTTTAAGTACAAAATTAATATCTAAATAGGAACCCTAGAGGTATACATAAAATGTACAAGTGTGATGTTAAGTTTACCTAAATGAAACGTCTCAGGTTATGGCTCTAACCATTGCTCCCTGAGAAGTGAATGGGACGCTGTGTAACAGTATGGGAAGATAACCGCGGGATCGCCTCATGAGCCACATGTGAAATCATAGTGGGACAAGGAATCTATGCGCATCTGCACCAAACAATGTCAGCTTCTGATATGTCGAAGTAAGTAGATAACAGGCATGAAGGAGGTATGGTGGGGCAACACAGTGTCTCGTTACAGTCGTAACTGGTATACTTCATAGGGCTGGGTAATAAATATCGATTTCTCGATATTAATCGATTCTCATTTTTACGAACCGATATCGATTCTTAAATCTCAAGAATCGATTAGTCATCCTGTTTCATTTGAATGAATGGATCATTGTATCGCGGCTGCCGCATCCAAAAAAATCGCAATAATCTTTGTCGTTTGTTACTATTGATATGAAACAAAGTCTCAATTTTCAAATCACGTCCATTTTCTTTGGAAATTCAAAAACATAAATAGCGTTTTGGCGCTGTGGCGTGAGATCGCTCTGGAGAAACAGCAGCGCTGATCTCTCTTCCGGCTTAATAATACCAGTCACAGCGCCAAATAAACATGAATGAGCGTCTGAAAGTGTGTTAAAAGATAGAGTACAACTTATCCAAATCTGTATCATGTCACATTGATTCACTCAATCAGCGTTTCAACTGTGGAAAGACGTCAGTTAAACAGTAATCAATGTCATCGTCATATTTACCTCATAAAACCCACATAAACTCGTTAGTCAGCTAGAAAAAAATAACTCTATAGAGGAGCATTTTGCTAAATATATACGCCATATTACATATGCATTATAATCTTAATGTTCTTCAATATTTAATGCATATTTGAATAAATCTGGCAAGTTTTTATGACAGCCACCATTTAAATGTTTATATTTCATATAATCTTCTTATTATAAAAATAAATAAGTGTAATTTAAGTGTTTGTATAGCTACAAAACAGTTCATTATTACCTTCATATTGGGCTAATGAAGTCTATAGGCTACAACTAGACTCCCATAGTTCACAGCTTTAGTAGAAAATTTGCCATTTATTGTAACTGATATCCAAAATAATCAATATCGAATCGGAATCGGAATCGAATCGAATTGTGAAATTTGTGTCAATACCCAGCCCTAATACTTCATGTACATTCATATATAAAAAGCGGGCTAGACGTATACAGTAGACAGTAAATTAACAGCAAAGTTCAGAGTAGTTAAAAAACAAAAGAAAAACGTAGCTGTCAAACCCAAAGTTTACTAATTCCCCATTTAAGTAGGTCTTGCATGGCCGAAATATCTGCCCGAGGTGTTGCAAATATGGCCGACTTGTGAATAGACTTTGCTTGAAAGGGACTTTGGCCACACTCAAGATCACATACTGTAGCTGTCTGTCTTGTCATCGCACAATTGATGTGTTCGCATGTGTAGACGAATCTAAGAGGTGCTTTAGGCTGAGAATAACACTTTCATCTCTGTTTCGTGTTTAGTGTGTGTGTGTGTGAGTGTGTGTGTGCGTCAGGTGGTGATACTGATTGACCTTCAACGTCCTTTTATCATCACAAGCCTGGACTTGAGTCAGCGAGGCAGAACACACAAAAACACGCTAGCTGTCTCATTCTTAGCTGACTGCTCACTTCAAGAGAGGCCACTTTCTGCCAGAATGGCGTTCTCCTGTAACCTTGTGGAAATTACTCAAACACACAGTCAGGTTTCCTCAGGAGCAAACAGGGCCGGAGCAGCATCTGAAGGCTCAGATCAGAAGATTAGAAATGATCAGTAATGGGGGTTGGGCTAGTGCGTGTGCATTTGTGAACTAAACTACATCCTTCTTTATCCGTGTACATGTATGGCCTTGATATACTAACAGGGAACGTTCCCAGAACATTCACTAACGTTCTTTAAAAGTTGTGTAAATGTTAGGACAAAACGTTATTAAAATAATGTTTTCGGAACGTTCATATAACATTATTAACGTTCTTGTAACGTTGAGAGAAAACGTTCTTAGAACAACGTTCTTGGAACGTCTTTATCACGTTATTTGTATTTGATAACGTTCTCATTACGTTGATAAAAAACGTTCTTAGAACAACGTTCTTGGAACGTCTTTATCAGGTTATTTGTGTTTGATAAACGTTCTCATAACGTTCCAGCAACATTATGCTAACCTTAGGATAACGTTCTAACAACATTATGCTAACGTTCCAGCAACGTTCTGCAAACATTAAGACACCGTTCCAGCAACGTTAAGCAAACTGGACATTTCCACGTTTTTAGAACATTTTAAATTAACGTTCCCACAACCAAAATGGAACGTTAGAAAAACGTTCTCAGAACCTAACTTTGTTAGCTGGGACAATGCTACTGACCCATTGCGACCCGGTTTTCCAAACTAATCCATCATGAACTGATAAAGTAACTCAACAATAACACAATCTCAATGTACTCTAATAGCAGTCACTTGTTATGTGCTATTAGTGCCGTGAGCTTGTATACAATAACATTAACTGCCATTAAATTAGTTCATTTTTAAACTGTTGGCAAGATTTTAGAAAGGCTAAATTACTTACAACTGTAGATAAAACAGTGATTAGGTGAGTCCCGCCAAGAGAAATTGTTAGATTTTCATGAATTATTACAAAGGAAAAGATTTATTTTCTCTGGAACAACATCTGTAATCAACATCTGACGAGTACCGTGTATTTAGATATAAGATATAAGGTCAACAGTGTAATTATGTTGGCTTGAGAGGAAAAGAATTCTTCTTCTCCTGAAACCAAAGTTTCTGACTCATACAGCTTTCAGACTACAACTACCAAACTTAGGTGAGACCTTTAGACTCACGTTCCTATAGACCATTTCACAAGATGTAAACAACACTGGTCCAGAAGCACTTCCTGTTTTCTTTATTTCACATGTAAAGAAAACATCTTAAAGATGTTTGTTTAACTTTTTGATTCAGTTTTAAATGTTCTGTTGGTTGTATTTTATCCCAGCTTTTATGTAGTGTTAAAAAAAACTGAAACAGGAAGTGCTTCTGGACCAGTGTTGTTTACATCTTGTGAAATGGTCTATATCTTTCCTAATAGATCTGACTTTGTGAATACCCGTACCAGACTTTCCAACAATCCCATATTCCCAAAGACTTTCATTGACGGGTTTAAAACTTTTATACGCTTAAACTATTTAAGCTTTCTGTCACTATATCAAAGCTTAACAACTAGCCTAGGACAACATGCTAAAACATGTTAGCCGTGAGTTAAAACATGCTAGCAAAATGCTTATTCATGCAACAAAATGCTAAAACACATTAATATACTAAATAATGCAAGAAACATGCTAGCAACGTGTTAAAACCCCAGAAAGCAAACTGACATTGAATCAACGTGGAAATATGACATCGAAACAACGTTGATCCGACATTGTTTTGCTCATCGAATTAACGTTGAACCAACGCCAGACGTGGCATTCTTTCAAAACTAACGGAAAATCAACTTGAAATCAACGTTGTTTCAACGTTATGAAAGCAAACCAATTTTCGATTTTCATTTAGCTTTGAAGAATGCCGCGTCTGACGTTGGTTCAACGTTAATGAACGTTGTTTCGATGTCATGTTTCCACGCTGATTCAGTACTCAGTACTCAAGTACTCATTCATTCAACTTTCGACCTATAACCCATGTTGAACTTTCAAAACCTACAACCAAATCTGAGATTTCTCAACAGCAATCGGGTGAAAGAGACAAATTTAGCCGTCTAGCTCCATAGGCTCCCATTCATTTTGCACACATGTGCGATCGCCCCCAGTGGAACTCTGGTGGAACTGCAACCAAAATTCAGTACAACAGGACTTCCAGGCTCTCCGAAGACGGGCTCTGGTAGTAATGTGCTAATGGTGCGTTCTATTATACCCAACGAACCGACTCGGACCTCGGATTTGACGTCACGTCCACACTTCAAGCGTTCTATTATGTTTTGCGTGTCCGAATCGGAGAAAGCTGTTGTCATGGTAGCACTGGCCGAGTAAGTTACCAGGCACTTATACATTTAAAAAAAAATATTATGACTACACCTTATCAAAACGCAGCCATTTGAACTTAAAAATGTTCAATTTATTTAATGTTTTTCAAGTTAATATTCTGTTAGCAACGTTAGTAATTGCACTCACAACAACCGATTCCCATACCCACAGGGGACGCAGTAATACGAGTGATTATAATCGTCATTTAAAATACCAAAGCGGTTCAAAAACAATGAAAACAATTAATTCTTACAAGTCACAGCCATCTTGAATTCCGAAACGGAATTCTTGCTCGGTGTCCTCACGGTTGTCCGACGTCCGAAAGGAGAAATCCGAGGAAAGGGGGCGTGTTGCTAGGCAACGTCTGTCGTCCGATTCGGATCTCCGAGACGGATGAATAATAGAACGCACCATAATTCATGGTAAAAAAAATGCTAGCAATTTGCTAATTCATGCTACCAACATGCTAAAACATAACTGATGCTAGAAACATGTTAGCAAACATGATAGCGATGTGTTAATCCAGTGTGTTAAATAATGCTGAATGCGATGAGTGATGTTTTACAGGTGCAATGAGAGCCAGAGCGGGACTCTCTGATCTAAAGTCACTGCATGCTGTGGGACGGCTATATTTAGATCAAGGCTATTGCACAACCACAACACCGACCACAGGTGCACAGTATACCAACACACACTGACATGCTAACGGCACACACACACACACACACAGAGGCATTTAAAAGTAAACCGTATATCAATCAAAGCGGTCTGACAGACTGACACTTCTCTTTCACAATTACAGTGTTTTTAGCCTCTCGTGTCAAAATCGCCTCTTCAATCAAACTCAAGCGTACGGTGCAGAAACCGAGACATGACAATAACTTTCAGCCAGCAATTTAGACTCAGGGCACTTGTTCAATGAGTGTTTTGCTCGATTTATCATCCTGCAGCAGGCAAAAATGCAAAGTTAGATTGCTTGGAAAAGTAATTTAAAATCTCACGATTTGAGATTTCATTGAAGTCCTAAACACAATAGGAGTAAAGTTTAATATTCACAAACCTCTAACCCTTATTTTGAGCAATAGTAAACACGAAATACAAGAATTTCCAGAGAATTCATTGATTCAGAACAATCCCTTGTGAAAAAGAAATACACTTTATTACAAAGGGCACTTTTAAAGAGTGTAAAGAAACAGTTATGGAAGTGTGCTCTCTTTAAGTGGCCTTTTATTTCATTAATGTAATATCCTCTGCAAGTAGTTTAATAAAAAATTATCCTTTTAAGATTTGAAGTTGCACAAGCACAATATTCAGTGGAGGGATGGCGTGTCTGTGAGTGTGCATGTGTTAACCACACACACACACACACACACACACACATTCCCTTCAGATGAATGTCTGGCTGTGGAGATTTTGTGTGATGACAGAAGGGTGTAGTTATGTAGTGTTTTGGTTTCAGGCGCTCAACGCCACTGTATGTGGAGGGAACACACGACACGGATATGGAGTTATTTCCAGTGTAAATCTGTGAAGCTGAACGGAAATGGATCCCATCATACAAACTTTGCTTCCAGTAACACAAAAGAGAGGATCTGCATTCCCATAAGTGCATGTGTTAGTTTCCCAGACACACAACACATCAATAGTCTGGCACATCAACAATCATGAGAGACGCGTGTGTGTGTGTGTGTGTGAGGCCGATGAAAGTCTGCACAAGTTACTCTTATACCGATTAGACCTCGCAATACTCACTTGTTTAATGTGAGGTCCAGAATGAATTGGGATCCAAAGGCCTGAAGCTGGAATGAAGCCTGAGCGAGATGGACCTCCTGATGAAGAAAGAAAAACACTGATTCAGACTCAGGGGATGCTAGAATGACCAACGCTTACAGATCAGGTCCCTCGAGCTGTCATAGGAAATGCAATCATTTCTATTGTACAATCAAAACATTTTTAAGCAATTCTAAAGCAATGTTTGACTTTGAGCGATATCATTATCATAGTAATAATCCCAAACATGTGTTCTTGTCAGGGCTGGTGAAATGTGTAGTAATGTCTATTTTCAGCTCAAATGTTGCATAAAGTTGTTTTGAACATTTCTTTTGTTTAGAACTCCCTTCTGAAGTCGTGAGGCATAGTAATGGATGCCAATATGCAAACAGCAACAGCAGAACATAATAATATTAAGATCCTCAAGTCATCTCCATTTATACACTCACCTAAAGGATTATTAGGAACACCATAGTAATACTGTGTTTGACCCCTTTCGCCTTCAGAACTGCCTTAATTCTACGTGGCGTTGATTCAACAAGGTGCTGAAAGCATTCTTTAGAAATGTTGGCCCGTATTGATAGGATAGCATCTTGCAGTTGATGGAGATTTGTGGGATGCACATCCAGGGCACGAAGCTCCCGTTCCACCACATCCCAAAGATGCTCTATTGGGTTGAGATCTGGTGACTGTGGCGGCCATTTTAGTACAGTCAACTCATTGACATGTTCAAGAAACCAATTTGAAATGATTCATGGTGTATTATCCTGCTGGAAGTAGCCATCAGAGGATGGGGACATGGAGGCCATAAAGGGATGGACATGGTCAGAAACAATGCTCAGGTAGGCCGTGGCGTTTAAACGATGCCCAATTGGCACTAAGGGGCCTAAAGTGTGCCAAGAAAACATCCCCACACCATTACACCACCACCACCAGCCTGCACAGTGGGAACAAGGCATGATGGATCCATGTTCTCATTCTGTTTACGCCAAATTCTGACTCTACCATCTGAACAGAAATCGAGACTCATCAGACCAGGCAACACTTTTGGTGAAATTTTGGTGAGCTCTTGCAAATTGTCACCTCTTTTTCCTATTTGTAGTGGAGATGTGTGGTACCCGGTGGGGTCTTCTGCTGTTGTAGCCCATCCGCCTCAAGGTTGTGTGTGTTGTGGCTTTGCTGCATACCTCGGTTGTAACGAGTGGTTATTTCAGTCAAAGTTGCTCTTCTATCAGCTTGAATCAGTCGGCCCATTCTCCTCTGACCTCTCGCATCAACAAGGCATTTTCGCCCACAGGACTGCCGCATACTGGATGTTTTTCCCTTTTCACACCATTCTTTGTAAACCCTAGAAATGGTTGTGTGTGAAAATCCCAGTAACTGAGCAGATTGTGAAATACTCAGACACCAACAACCATGCCACGCTCAAAATTGCTTAAATCCCCTTTCTTTCCCATTCTGACATTCAGTTTGGAGTTCAGGAGATTGTCTTGATCAGGACCACACCCCTAAATGCATTGAAGCAACTGCCATGTGATTGGTTGATTAGATGATATAATCCTTTAGGTGAGTGTATAGCGATTTTAACAATGTAGATTGATCCTTTAAAGTGATAATATGAAATGAAAGAAACAGATTGTTTTGTCTTTAAGGCATAAAATGGTCATAAAAATCCCATCAATATTCAAATGCAAATATTTTATTTAGTTGCATTACAACCGTCAAAGCTCACACATTGGTTTTGTTGCGCAGTAATTATTCAGTGAACATTAGTTTGGCTTAATGTAATAAATAATAGATGGCATTTACAATTACGAAGAGTCATGAAGAGGATGATATAGTTCTTCTTCTCAGCATTACATTTATAACTGTCCCACTTCATTATTCAGATATAACGGCACTGGAAATCTCATTCATACATGGACCACTGCACTTTAAATAATCTGTGTTTTCATTTTTAAAAATCTGACCACCAAATCTTACTAGATGGTTACTTAATGTAAAGAAATGAGCGGCTAAAGCTTCATCTTGTTGCACAGTGTATGAACATCACATTTGGAGAGAATTTGGCACATTCCCTGTTAGCTGAGATCACGGGTGGATGAAAGTTTCTTCTGTTGTGTTCTCTCCAGTGGGGTTTAATAATGCATGAGTTAGTGTTCGGTGATGCGTAGAGTTTGATTGTGCTGGGATCATTACATTATGCCTGAAGCTGGTTTACACGGGTCTGAAGGTCCATGAGAAGAAGCCAAAAAATAATGTGATGAAATGAAAGTGTCATTCATTACCAAACACAACAAGTCCACTGTCCTGCCCCAGCAGTGTCTTAATTAGATCCACACACATGAGCGGATGTGTCATGGACGCTGCGCTCTCACCTGTCTGTGTGCGTCAGGGATCTTGCTGCGGGTGTTCAGGTCATGGTAGGTGCTCTCCGAGGCTTCGTTCCGGTAGTAGATGAGGCGAGAGGGGTATGTGAGTGTGCGCTGTGAGTCCTGCGGGACGCTGGCATTGTGCGTCCGTCCCGCTGCAGTATCATCTGACACCGCTTCCCTGGGGATCTCAGCCTCCAACACTGACAACACACACACACGACTGAAACACGTCCGATGAGCCCTCCTGACACTAACTCCATCTAAACTAGGCCAATCTGACACTGAAGCTCAGAGAAACCAGTGAGGAATTTACAGGAAGGCTTTGGTGTGAGTGTGCAGACTACAATACATGCGTCACGAGAATCAATTTAGACTATTCATAAAGCTCTGGAGCTCATGTTATCATGTCTTACGTTATGCCATTATTATATGATAAGTACACCGAAAAAAAGGTTTTCAAGCAGTACCTCATTCAATTAATATTTTTTCATTCAATTTAGTTTACTATTATTTGTTTTATTTTTCAAGTTATATTTTTTTGGTTCAAAACATTGCTAAATATAAATATTTTTCATTAAGATCTTAAATGAGAACAATTTGTTTCAACGAATTTACAATTTCAAAGTTACACATTGGGAAAAAAAAGTTCATTCATCCAATTTAAAAATTTTAGGGTAATGGTTCACATTTATATTTTATAACTTGAACCAATGAATAATAAATAACTTACCCTAACCAATATTTTCTATGTCTATGAAAATGATTTTATAAAACTTGGTACAAAGTAGATTTTTCATGTTGAAGAAAGTCAGTCAATTTAAATTCTATTTTTGATCTAAACAAAAATATATAGATTTAATCAAACCAAAACTTGCATGCATATCAGCACATTAAATCTGTGAAGATCTCAGCAGAGGATGAGTAAACAACGCAAACAGCATTACCAGCTTCACTGATTAATGACCTATTATTTCATTTCCGTTTTGTATGAAATCAATGGTAGTATTTTAAATTCACCATGATGGTGGTTAGCATTTGCTTAGTTGTACTCTAGACCCTTGACACTTTAATTAAAAAATTCCTCTGGCTGCTATACATGTGTTAATTAAGCACAATTATAGCTAGGAATGCCATGAGATTAGGTGATGTTGGCTGTTTATTGATGATATCATCATGTAATTGCCTGAATCCTTGATTTTATTCAGGGTTTAATGCTTTGATTTTTTTGAGTAATGCTTGTGGTTTTAATATTGTTTTATACATAATATGAGTCATTTGATTCTACTGCATATCTAGCAATGTTATCACGTAATATTTTTTTTTTTTTAAATCTTATTTAGTGCACAATAAACTTTCATCTATGGCATTACTTAGATGCACACAAATATCAAGAAACAGCATATGAATCTCAACAATGGTATTGCTAAGAGGCAGGACATGATGCCCAGGCCCAATGAATATTTAAGACTTTTATTGGGATCCCTCTCTGGTTTTTTCATGAAATTCCCTCTGAGAAATAAAAGCAGAGATTTCTAAAGTCAATTTCTCAAGATTAAATGCACAGGAGGACTCCAAGCTCTACGTAATAGTATCAATCGAGGTACACGTAAAGTTCTGCAGTGTCCTCTGTGAGCCCAGACCACATCAAGTCTCAAAGACACACTGTATTAGCATGCACATGTGTGTCTCTGTCTCTCTCAGGCAGGACACTTTGCTCCCTGCTGTCCTCCGCATTCACACTAACACACACGATGTCCTTGCAGAACTCCCTGAAAACATCCCGAACTGCACAATCGCGAAAGCATTATAAAACACATTCCAACTATCATGTTTCGCACTGGCGGTGTGTGTAGCCTAAGTTCGGACCGGTTAAGGTTAGGTACGTACCGGCTGACGCGAACGCCACGAACGGCTGGAGTCGAGAAGCGAGGATGCACGCGAGCAGATTTGACAGCACCAGCACACACATGATTCATAGTTGGTCTGTGGACTCGCGAGGTTCACGTATGGATGCGGAGACTCGCTAGGGGCTCATTGTCCTTGATGGTCCTGATGCTGCTGATGGTGCAGAGTGAAGGCGGTGGCCAGCGCGAGATCTCCGCGAGCACGCTTCAGATAGTGATGATGCTCACTCCCGCGCGCAGGTGCCGTGCCCGTGCACATGATCCCCTGCCCTCTATACTATACCAGCTGATCTGCTCACAATTATTTGCATAACACTGTAGTAGCAGTCAAACCGTATTCACTTTATAGCCCTTAATACTGTAATTGTGGACAAATGTGGGCACAGAGGACTCAGGTGTGGTCCTAATTTGTATTTATTATATCACTGTCTTCGATAAAGTTTTGTCTATCTATTTATGGTGTTTTTTGAGGTATTTTTGAATTTATTTACTTCAAAAAGTACCATATTTTCTATGTAAATTATGCTTACTTTTATGTTTTTTTTTTTTTTTAAACTACATTAAAATATAATTCCAATAAGTTCTTAGAGCTAAAACCTAAAGATCAAGTGACTTTGCTGTCACCTGGTGTCTTATTTTGGCTTATTTTAGAATGCTCTAAATTACAGTTTTTCCCATTCATTTCTATGGGTGCCCATTTTTGACCCAAATACAAGATTAAGGAGTTGTTGTTGTTTTTTCACCCACTTAACATTGTAGAATTAAGTCAAAATATTGTGTGTGTTCAGGAGGCAAACTTAGGAAAAGTAGCCAAGTCTTGTAGCGCTCAGATCAAGGGAAGTATTTTTTGCCCACATTTGTCCAGAATACAGTTTTAGGGTTAAATATGAATGCGTAGCTACTAAGAAACGATTATACATGTCTTGTACACAGTTCATATATATGACTATATATAACTTTTATATAGGTATATGCCAGATCTTTCACATGCCTACCCTTGTGAAAAAGAAGTGTGCTTACTTGTATTGAAAGTGTACTTTTTGTGTGCTTAAACTCATGAAAGTATATAAGTGTACTTGCAGATAATATAATATAATTACAATTAAAGACCACTTAAGTTTAACTTAAAGTATACACTTTCATGACAATATTTATAAACACACTTAAGTGTACTTTTTAAAAATGCACTTTGTAATAATGTCTAATTAAGTTTTACTTATAGAAAGTACACTTTGGTGATCATATTTATAAACACACTTAAGTGTACTTTTTACAAATGCACTTTGTAATAATATCTAATTAAATTTAACTTAAATTAAGTAGACTTTCATCACAATATTTCTAAATACACCTAAGTGCATGTTTTAAAAAAATCATTTTTTAATAATGTCTACTTAAGTTTTAGTTAAAGAAAGTACACTTTCATGTTAATATTTCTAATCAAGTGCATGTTTTAAAAAATTCCCCTTTTAATTGTGTCTACTTAAATTTATGATTTTATAGTGTTTTAAAGTTATTAAAGTTATTAAATGAAATGTATTTTGATGAATTGACTAATATACTAAATAAAATAATAATTTTAATGGAAAACATGGAAAGTAATTCATTTTAATTTCAACTCAAGTGTGTTGTCCAAAAACAATTAGTTTATTTATTTTAAATGTGTTTAATCTAGAATATATCGACTGTGTGCATTAATGCTTGGAATGTGTTTTTCCAATAAATTTGCAATACAGTATAATCCAGGACAACTTATTGTTGACATTTTTCTACATAATATATGACAATAAAATGTAATTTATGAGAGGAGTCTTAGCATAACAGTAATGTGTACTTTACATATGTGAGAAAGTCAATTAAACACATTTAATTGCAATCCACACTTAACAAAAATATTGACTTTTAGTTGGTTGAAAGAGTAGCGCTTTGTGAACTTACAGAGTATAACAACACAAAGAGTTAGAACAACTTCAACTTAAACAGAAAAGTTGAAATAAAAATATACTGTAAATGAACAGGGTGTTATTTACAGTATTAGAAGCTATGTATAATTTTATTTCAGACAACTCTCAAAATAGTTTTAGCATTGAATATGGCAATGTTAATAAATTTGTTCTTTACTTTAATTGCACAGAATTAGGGGGGCTGGGTGGAAATATAGGGGGAGGTAAAGCCCTCCTAAATTGGCCCCAGTGATGCCTCTGGTTTATCCGTATGGGAAAAATAAGGGCTTTTTCGGTGAGAGCAGTTCAGGGGGTGTCATATACCACATTTGAGTATTAATAACCCAACATAATGACAAAGTCCTCTGAAGGAAATCATGTAAAGGTTATTGAACAGTCAAATGTGATGGGCAGTTTGTGGTTGGGGGACTAATAGTGGATAAGATTTTCCTAAAATTATTTCTTCTTTGTTTTTTTGTTTTTACATTTAAGTCATTTTAATGGGGGATTTTCCCTTCATAAACACACCATCTCTAAAGTGCAGCTAGAAGATTAAAACCATGTGTTAAGCTCGTCAGGTCTGATGACTCATTCACTACACTAACAATAATCCACTTGCAGTGGCAGGGAACAAACACGAAGAGGGAAGACTAGCAGTCAATGAAGATCTTACTCAGAGGAGGAAATTAAAACTGTAAATCTAACGAGACAAAGACCGTTTGTCGACATGCTTTCTGGAAATATCACATGCAAATAAATGCTGTTGTGCTTAAAAAGAAAAAAAAAACCTAAGTGCCCCACTTTGACAATGAATTAAGGTATCAAAACAATGTCGAATTAGGTTTTATGAATACATTTAAATAAATAAGTTATAATTATTGTAATTATTTTATTAAATTATTTGTCATCATATTTATATTGCTAATGGCAAATTTTCAAAAAGTGTCCACCTTCACATTTATTCACCATAAATATAATGAATGTGACATCTATGCATAAAATATAATCCCTGTGTTTAGTGTTCCTTGACTTTTATTTTGATATTTTTTTGTCTTGCTGCACCAGTGTTTAATTCCTGTTTGCCCTTGTTTATCCTTGTTAGTCTTCATGGTGTTTAATCAGTCTCACCTGTGCCTTGTTATCCTCTTCTTAGCCTGTGTAAACAACGCTTTCATATAGGTGACGCTTTTGAAATTGCGTCTAAATCCGACGCACATGGCACCCTTTCACGTCAATATAACACGCTTCGGTTATGGGTAGGTTTAGGTCTGGTTTGTTTCAGTCTCTGTTTGTTGGTCATTGTCTGTCTCCTATGTTTCCAATGTCGTCATTATTTGGATTATCTTTGTGTTTGTGTATAATAGAATAAAGGCCACTTGCTAATAGATCCTTAAAGGAACACTCCACCGTTTTATCATATTAAACTGTTCTTCCCTTAACTAAGACGAGTTGACACATACCTCTCTCGTCTCGCTCTGTCTTGCGGTGAAACTTTGATAGCACTTAGCTTAGCCCAGTTCATTCATTAGGATCCAAGCAGAGAAGCGACCAAACACCTCCACGTTTTACATGAGTAGTGTAACTCGACCATTATTTTCCATAATGTAATGATAAAAATTAAACTTTCATATATTTCAGATTCATTGCACACCAACTGAAATATTTCAGGTCTTTTATTGTTTTAATACTGATGATTTTGGCATACAGCTCATGAAAACCCCAAATTCCTATCTCAAAAAATTAGCATATTTCATCCGACCAATAAAAGAAGTGTTTTTAATAGAAAAAAAAAGTCAACCTTCAAATAATTATGTTCAGTTATGCACTCAATACTTGGTCAGGAATCCTTTTGGAGAAATGACTGCTTCAATGCGGCGTGGCATGGAGGCAATCAGCCTGTGGCACTGCTAGGGTTGGGTATCGAGAATCGAGTATCGATTGGATCCGGGAATAACTTTTTGTTTTTCCCGGAATCGTTCAAAAGTTAAAATTTCGATTCCTAGTTTCGATATTCACCGTCCGCCGAGCGGAAGAAGAAACCGCTGAACAACACCAACGAAGAAGCGTCTACCGGAAGTGTTGGCATAACCGCGCGAGTCGAACATTAGTAGCTTACGTCAGCGGTCCAAAGTGTGGCTTCACTTTTCTAAAAATAACGAAATCTCGGCAAAATGCAAAATTTGTGACAAAAGGAGTATTTGTGACAGGAGTATTTCCTTCAGAAAGGATTATTTCCTTCAGAAAGGATTATTTCCTTCAGAAAGGCCGTTGGTTAGCAAGGTTAGCTAAACTTTTTTGACCCTGCCTCTTAAAAGAATCGGAATCGAGAATCGTTAGGAACCGGAATCGAAACAAGGAATCGGAATCGGAATCAGAATCGTTCAAATTCAAACGATACCCAACCCTAGGCACTGCTGAGGTGTTTTAAAAATCACCAAAGCTTTATAAAATCACCAAAAAAAAAAAGTAAAAAAAAAAAAAAGTTTAAGCTTTGAAAAAGTTAAAAAGGCAAAAGTTCAATTCTAGTGTGACTTGGAAAATAAGTTGGAGGCCAAAGACTGTAAAATCTGGAGCAGATCACATGCTATAAGGTAAAAGCTATCTCTGATGACATTATCCGAAGATCTTAATGTGTTCTAGTCGATTTAATACAATGGCCCAGCTAATGCTGCCCTCCTGGCCCAGTTCAGTGACTCCTCCTTATAAACTGAAGAGCGTGACGTCAGGAAACTGCTGAGGAGGCAGAACAGCAGGAAGACATATCAGAGTTTACACCCTTACACCCAGAAAAGCCGAAAATCAGCTGCTTATATGAATACAGACCAGTGGCCTTATCTTCGGTTGTAGTGAAAATATTTGAGCAATTGTTACTTAAAACATTTGTCTAGACGGTCATCAATTGGCCTATGAGGCTAACAGGTCAGTGGATGATGATCTGTGACTTCATTCAGTTTTGCAACAGCTTGAGACTTTTTGTGGACTATAAATCTGCACTTAATACAATTGTTCCAGCTAAACTCTTGAGGGGTTGATCACTCCCTTGCTCTTTGGATTGTGGATTTGTTTTGAATAAAAGATCACAAGGAGTAAAAATTAACAACATTTCGAGCCCTAGAACAATAAGTGTGGGAGCTCCACAAGTCTGTGTATTGTCACTAATATTATAATCCACGTGCACTAATGAGTGTGTCTCGCACAGTGAACCAGTTAAAATTTGCACAAGTCA